CACTTAGTGGGAACTCTGAGAGTTTTGTCTAGTCTCAATATAGTTTCCTTCTGCAGACTTTAAGATATACGGCAGTTATTTCCCCCTTGTTTTCCTTGTGTCATATAGAAAACAAAACTGAACAACAGCTTGGGGCTAAAATCATTTCTCGTCCCAGAAAAAGCCACTGTCTTTTATTAGAAAACATTCCCTTCCAACTGCTATGATGTCCATCCCTCAAATTCTCCTCAAGGAACCACTTGAAAAGTCTGCAAAACTTGCAGCTCTGATGGTGTGTTTTCCCTTCCTATGAGCCATTCTGGGAACAAAGACAATGCACTGGCTATAAAATTGCCCAGAGTCACACCTTCAACTGTCATTTATATATAAAAAAGCAACTTTCCAAAAGTGTTTCTTATAGAAATCTTATTAAAATCCAAAGATACTTGATTATTTCATTTTAAAGAGAGAAAAAAAATAGCAATCTTCCATCATGACACTTCATACATAAAAAACAGAAAAGGAGCCTAACTAAAGGATGCTAGCCTAGCTAGAATCTGAACTAAAACCTAGTTCTACTGATTAACAATTCAGTTCCTCCCCAAAATACTATGCTGATATTCAGAAATTCCAAAAATCAGATTCACTGGAAGCCAGGTAAATGGACAGCTATAGCCAACTTACACTTCTAGGAAGTTCTAATCCGGTAGATATTCTGACAGAGGAATACCTCATTTTCAAATCATGTTAATGGGCCCTAAAGAATGGAAATCAACTCACACACTCACGTAATATGCTAGAAGCAAGTATCTAGGTGATTTTCAGGCTTGCATGAAGGTAAAATCAACATGCAAACAACTAAAGCCAAACCATGCTTCCTACATAAAGGCTCATGGCCCCCATTCATCAAATACACACTATAAGAAATAACCTTCACTTAATGCTCAGAAATTAGGAGTAGTCTTTTTGCAGAAAGCCAGGTTGTTCTCGTCCCATGATATGGACCTACTGCGAGAAGATGGGAGTTGTGGTAGGCGCATGAGGATGAAGGGGCAGAGATTTCAGATTTCTGTTACTCATACATCACAGCGATATTGACGTGCATGTATTGTCTTGGAGGAAGACGGAGTTGGGCACTCATGGAAATATGGCTGGAATTAGGAGCCAAGAGGGGTGAGCACCCATGCTCTTGGACAGCCTGACTCAGCCACAATGGGAATGACAAAGGAGATGCTTCCATGGAGCAAGCCCAAGGAGTAAGCTCTCAACCAAATTAGTTCTGGGGTTTTGTTTAAGATAAATGTTAAGTGACTTCCCTGGTGGTCCAGTGGCTAAGACCCTGTGCTCCCAATGCAGGGTGCCTGGGTTCCATCCTTGGTCAGGGAACTAGATTCCACATGCTGCAGTAAAAGGAGAGTGCATGCTACAACTAAGATCCAGCAGAATGAAATATATATTTAAAAAAATAAAATAAATAAACATTAAAACATGCTTGAGAGGGGTAGTATTGGTGCCTCACAGAGATACAGACCCTCTCGAGTCTCAGCTGTTTGTCTGGTGACTGTCGTGTGCTCATGCACTCGGTGAGCAGAATCAGAGCAGCCGGCAGGCAGACCTCACCCCTCAGCCACTTCTATCTACCTGCAGAGACTTCTCTGCTCTAATGAATACACACTATAAGAAATAACCTTCACTTAATGCTCAGAAATTAGGAGTAGTCTTTTTGCAGAAAGCCAGGTTGTTCTCGTCCCATGATATGGACCTGCTGCGAGAAGATGGGAGTTGTGGAAGGCGCATGAGGATGAAGGGGCAGAGATTTCAGATCTCTGTTACTCATACATCACAGCGATATTGACGTACATGTATTGTCTTGGAGGAAGATGGAGTTGGGCACTCATGGAAATATGGCTGGAATTAGGAGCCGAGAGGGGTGAGCACCCATGCTCTTGGACAGCCTGACTCAGCCACAATGGGAATGACGAAGGAGATGCTTCCATGGAGCAAGCCCAAGGAGTAAGCTCTCAACCAAATTAGTTCTGGGGTTTTGTTTAAGATAAATGTTAAGCGACTTCCGTGGTGGTCCAGTGGCTAAGACCCTGTGCTCCCAATGCAGGGTGCCTGGGTTCCATCCCTGGTCAGGGAACTAGAGTCCACATGCTGCAGTAAAAGGAGAGTGCATGCTACAACTAAGATCCAGCAGAACGAAATAAATATTTAAAAAAATAAAAAAAATAAACATTAAAACATGCTTGAGAGGGGTAGTATTGGTGCCTCACACAGATACAGACCCTCTCGAGTCTCAGCTGTTTGTCTGGTGACTGTCGTGTGCTCATGCACTCGGTGAGCAGAATCAGAGCAGCCGGCAGGCAGACCTCACCCCTCAGCCACTTCTATCTACCTGCAGAGACTTCTCTGCTCTAATGAAAAGTTCCTCAAATGTTTACCCTCATAAGAATTAAAAAAGAAAACAAAACTGGGGGCAATCTGCTGTTCCCAGATGATACAGTTTTACTAAACAAACCCACACAGTAGAGGTACCTTCTTGGGACTAATTAGTGAGACTGTTTTCCCTTCTGAATTCAAGGCCCAGAGGTACAAGGTTAACACAGGGTCAGTCTAGTGAAGTGTCCTGGACCTCCATCAGATTCCAGGGTCCATTCACTTTCCAACTTCTCTCCAGCCTGAAGAACAACTGTGTTTCATCATCACCATCATTATCATCACCCATAGCAACAGAAGCAAACATTTGTGGCTCACTGATGGCAAAGACAGGTCCAGCTCAGCACGTCCCATTTGGCAGATGGACATCCTTGAACCAGTTCTATAACACGTTAGACATCTAAAACGATTGTGTAGAAGCATTGATGGGGAGAGAGTTCACGGCAGGAACCCAAGAGCAGCTGCACTTGTGAGATTGGAAAGGAGCAGATATTCTGTTGAAAGAAGATGAATGGGATTTTCTGCGAGCGTGTGGTTAGAGCGTTTAGGGTTTGAACCCCACTATTAGCAGCTCCCCCAACACACACACACACTATTATAGGATAAAATCTGCAAAACCACAACCATGGTTTCCCCAAAGGACAACCTAAGGTTAGAGGTGGTGTCTGAATCCTGAAGCATGACCACAACTTGAGTTCCAAAGAGGTCCTGTATGTCTGAAATCCAGGCAGGCAGTGGCGGTCGTCCATTGGCACCTGCACCATGAAAAACACCCACACAGGCTATTCAGGATCATTCTTTACTTGCTCTAGTGAGCACTGTCTTTCCAAGCTTCTTTCCTGAGAAGAGAAGCCAGGGAATCACCCCATGAGCTCCTATCAAAACCACGTCCTCCTGGACTGAACTCTGAGCCTGGCTGGAGGCCCTACCTCGTAGGCACCCTTTAAAAAAGACTGGAATTCGGCAGCTCACGGCTTATGTGTTACACTAAACAGAAGAAGAGAAGAAACCCTCTGGAGGCAGGGCAGGGAGCTCTCCCAGCTGCCGAGTCCAGAGGTCACAGCAAAGCTGGTTCTACCAGATACACGCTCTCGGGAATGACCACAGCTCTAAAAAGCCTCGAGACAGGAAGGGCTATGGAAATGGCAAATAGGTAAATGAAGCCTTCCTCATTGGTGTCACTTTACAGAGCTGGTCGTGACAGATAGAGTCCTTCCTGGGAGGATGGTGATGGGTGAAGTAAATCAAGCTTAGTAAATCTGAATGAGAAAGCTCTGAATCACGTGGAAGTTACCCGTCACGCTGTGCTCTCATCCCAGCAAGGTCTGAGGAGACTGTCTGCAAGGTGCCCTGGTACGTTTTATTCAGAGCAGTTCTGGGCTCAAGTTGAGAAGTATGGAAATTATCAGCCTTTTTCCTGCTCTATTCCTGTGAGGCACAATCTGCATGGAATTCCTCTGGTCCTCCGTGTCTGCAGAAGCTCTGGTCACACAGAAGCTAGAATATCTCACCCACTCTCACTGTAAGGAGACAGCCCCTTGCCTTTCGCAGTTTTGAGACATGGGGTAGAATGACCGCGGGGCCAGCCTGGATCTGTGAGGCTTGGTCAGACTTTTTCAGGCCACGCTACCAGGAGGAAGCCGGAGAACATGACACCTGGTGGTGGAGGTGGAAGGTCAGAAAAGGTGCAAAGAAACATGAAGCGGGGTGGGTGGGAGAGGGGTGGACTGTGTGTTTGGGGTTAAGAGACGCAAACATGTTATATTTAGAATGGATAAACAAGGTCCTACTACAGAACACAACAAACAACACTAAAGAACATCCGATAAAAAACCAGGAACAAATAAGAAAAAAAAAAAAGAATTTTTTTAAAAAAAGAAACATGAAGTCAACAAGCTTTTCTCAAAGCTGCCGGGAGCTGCTGGAAATGAAACGACTGCTTTCCGACACTTCCTCCTTCTCTCGGGTGGGACTGGCCCCCAAGGACGCCACAGCACAGTAATCCCTGCATGGTTCAGCTCTGACCTCATTTCTGCCTTTCAGCGACTCTTCAGCTGCTTATTGAAGTCCCAGAATCAGAACAGGTTAGACTTATTTGAAAATGATTCTGCATTAACACCTACCTTTTCTCTTAATTTGTCACTAGAGGCAAGGTTTGGAAGGCAGGCTTGGGCAGAAAGTCCCCGACACGCTGGCCGATGGGGCTTGGGATGTGTCAGTACTCACGCACAATGTTTCAGGGGTTTGGGGGGCGATGGCTGCACTCTGCACCCGGAAGCAATCCTGTGTGAAAGCTGTCCCTGGACCTGCCATCTGGGTTACAGGAGAGCTGTGGACACAGCAGGTCCTCCTGAAGGCACTGGAGGTGCGGTCGCCAGAGCCTCACGTCCCCCGCTTGTAATGGAGGAGTGTTTTCCTGAACCCCTGCCTGCGGTCAGAGCCCACGCCACGGGGAGCCCCACTCCACCCCAGAGGGGGCCAGCGAGCCTGAGTCAGGAGGCCAACCCCACCTTCACGCCTGAGCCAGGCAGGCTCTGCTCCCCCACGCCCCCTGTGTGACAATGAGGTACCACACCAGGTGAAGAGGGACATGGAACACTTTTTAATGTCAAGTCAGAGACAACCCTTCCCTCCCAGCCCCCAATCCCACCTTCCCTCACCACATCAGGACCCCTCCCCGAGGCCCCTCCGGTTCCCAGACTTCGGGGGACGAAGAAAAGTTTACCTAAAAACTGCCTTTTCTTCTCTTTCATACACACGCACACAAAGGTGGGAAATTAAATAAACCAAGAGGATTCGATTCTCCAGCGCTCACAAAGGCATCCTAGATTCCCATGACGGGCTAAAGCGAGTGGTTACTGACTGCGGAGTTGGTTCGGCAGCTTGCTGTCTGTCTGTCCACACCCGGGGCTCTTGCTGGAGAAGCCGGGCCTCCCGCATAAGCCCTCGCGTCCGAGAGCCGCCCCTGGAAAAGATGCTGCGCCTGGTGTTAGCGTTTTGTTTCTCTTGTCACGTTTTAGAAATGTCTCTGACATGTGAATAACCCAAGAAAATAAAAAGGCAGAAGTTGATTACACAATTACCAGTAAACTCTATCATCTTTTTGAAGAGCAACACACAGCTAACGCCATATACAGCATGCAGTAATGTTTGAGAAAGGACCCTGCTGAGAAAGGAAATGGCTAGAACTCTAACAAAAAAAATATATGTATATATATATACTGTATAATATATGTCATCAAAAGAAGCATTGTCAGCAAACTCAAGATACAGTGCAGGTCACCCTTCTGTTTCTAAACAGCATGTAGAAGCATCGTATTGTCTGCATTAAATGCACAGAATAAGAAATCTGTAGCGCTGGTGGAGATGTTGGTTAAATTGTATGTGGTTTTTCTTTTTTTTTTTTTGGTGGATTTGCCAAATCCTCACCAGGTGATTAGCCTGGTGTGTGGTCCACCAGTTGTAAACCTAGGTAAGAAGTACACTATTCACGTCTAACCTTGAACAAACACACTTCCCTTCACCCCTTTCCTCTCTGTACTTAATTTTTTTTTAGTTTTGTCTTGTTTTTGCACTAAGTTTAAGACTCATATCAGAAAATATAATTAATAAAATTAATAATGAATCAGAATCCCTTATTATCCATGATGTCCTTGTAGTAAAATGAAAAACAAACGAAAAAAAAGAACGTTTAAGAATATCTTTTGTGACTGTTGATTGTGGGATTGTTGTAGCTGTCAGGCTGTCTTGTTTTTTCCTTTTTATTTATCTTTTTGATGCTGCATTTCATCACACACACAAAATAGGGACACATTCCAGGAACGGGCCCACTCGCCTCCCTCTGAGTTCTTCTCTACGGAATGATTGAATTTGGGGTGGCCGAACTCCAGAATTTTCCTTGGTGGGGGGGCACTGTGGTGGGCAGAGCAGCTGAGCCCCTGCCCGCCTGGTAACAGAGGTCACGCCATGCAGTTTACGGGTGGGTCCAGAGCCACGGGCGTTCTTCCCATTTGGAAAAAGAAAGAAAACTCGGCTGTACCTAGGTATCTGCACGGTGACTTCCAGTGTCCTCGTTCAATTCGTTTTCCCAGAGCATTCTTGGTTCCCCTCCCTTGAATCTGTGTCCCCTTCGGCTCTGTTGTCTGAATTTGGTGGGATCGTGTCTGCTTTAGAACAGGGGTGCTCGCCTTGATGCTGTCGGTCGCCATCGCTGACGTGCTGACGGTGCGGCGGCTCCTCCCCGTCGGGGATGCGGCTCTCACATCAAAATTTGAGAAGCAGGTGCAAGACCAGGAGAGGAAGCAGCCAGAGGCAGCCCGCCCTCCTCGACGACGTCCCGTTGCTCACTTCGCTGACGGCGCCTGGGCCTGTGGAGAAAACACACCTGCCATGAGCCTGGCCCCCTGCTTCGCAGAGGTGCCTCTCCGGCCAGGAGCCTCCAGCACCCCTGGTCCACACACTGGGACTGCGTGGGGAGTGAACCTTCCATAGCCTGATCCCGAGGACACGGCTAGGTGGTGGGGAGTCCGCCTGCGCAGAGAGGGGCTGAGAGGTGTGGGTTTTGGTGTGCAGGTGGCTGCTACTCCCCTGCCATCAGAACACGCTGAGGCCCTGACTCAGGGGGCAGGTTCAAGAAGAAGGTGGTGGATTAACGAACACCCTACCCAGAGCCTTGGTAAAGCTCTGCATCACCTTATATCGCCTGCATCATCGTCCAACCCCTCCGAGCACTGCCCGCCTCAAACATCCACGTGGCCCTTCAGCCGCTCCAACTGTCCTACAGGAAAGGACTTGGTGGACACATTGACTGTCCCCCTGTAGATGCTGCAGCAGCCTTGGCGTTCCTTCTGTCGGTCACTCTATTTCAGGGCAGTGCTCTTGGCCTCTCCCCGATCTGGACCAGCTAAGAGCAGACCTCCTTCAAGTTCCACAGGCTCAGAAGGTCAAACCCAGCTGCCATGAGGTGGGATCAAGCCAAGAGACAGGTGGCCTCTGGCCGTGCACATGGGAGGATTTACAGGGACAGTGGGATGCAGAGCGTGCCATGGCATGTGTCTGTCGAGGGGAGATGGATGGCGCCTTTCTCTAAGAGCCACACAGCGGCCTGGCCTGCACACAGATACTCTTGGAGATGGAGCCAAATTCAGGAGGCAAGGTAACTATGAGGTCATAACACTCCCCAGCAGCTTCCCTATCATTTAAGCTTTCCAGCTCCCTGAGCCCCATGGCCGTGAACTCCAATGACAAATGTAGTTAGGATTCATGAACAGTACACACGTTTGGATGCCTGGATGAATTAGGCGCCTAAAGAAGCAAGGCATCTTCTCAGACCACACTTGCTCCGGCAGCCTCTGTCGCACGGGACTATGTTGTTGCTGTTCAGTTGCTCAGTCATGTCCAATTCTTGGCCACCCCATGGGCTGCAGCACATCAGTGTCCTCTGTCCTTCACTGTCTCCCTGGACTTTGCTCAAATTCATGTCCGTCGAGTCAGTGATGCTATCACTGAACTTAGCAGAGGCATTTGAAGCTGGTGACCTCGCTAATTCCACATCCTCACTAGGTTGAAGGGACAAAGCCAGACCTGCTTGCCTGACTCAGACGCTGGACCCGGAGACAATTCTGGCTACTACAGTTTACCATCAAGCCAGGCTCCCTAATGCCATATGGAATTATGTTCTCAAGTCTTAGAACTCCTAGCCTGGAAGCAATGCCCATATTTATTTCTTAGACCTTTGGAACAAAGCCCTTGTTCTAGTCTAAGCCTACCCCTGAACAGTTATGAATCTGAAATGCACCAGGTCATCCAGCCTCCGGGTCTCTGGAGCTGCTTCTCAATGAAGGGCGGTGAGTCGCCACCCCAAAGTGTCTCTTTGGCACACAGATTATTTTGAGTTGAGAATGGTCAAAGCTCAAGACTGAGGAAGAAGCTTTGATCTTCCTTGGAAGAAAAGCTATGACAAACCTAGACAGCATATTAGAAAGCAGAGACATCATTTTGCCGACAAAGGTCTGCATGGTATAAGCTATGGTTTTTCCATTATTCATATANAGGGCAGGAGGAGAAGGGGACGACAGAGGATGAGATGGTTGGATGGCATCATCGACTCGATAGACATGGGTTTGGGTGGACTTCAGGAGTTGGTAATGGACAGGGAGACCTGGCATGCTGCGGCTTACAGGCTCCCAAAGAGTTGGACACGACTGAGCGACTGAACTGATCTGAACTGATACGGATGAGAGAGTTAGACCATAAAAAAGATTGAGCATCAAAGAATTGATGCTTTTGAACTGTGGTGTTGGTGAAGACTCTTGAGAGTTCCTTGGACTGCAAGGAGATGAAACCAGTCCATCCTAAAGGAAATCAACCCTGAATATTGATTGGAAAGACTGAAGCTAAAACTGAAGCTCCAATACTTTGGCCACCTCATGTGAAGAGCCGACTCATTGGAAAAGACCCTGATGCTGGGAAAGACTGAGGGCAGGAGAAGAAGGGGATGACAGAGGATGAGATGGTTGGATGCATCATTGACTCAATGGACATGAGTTTGAGCAAACTCTGGGAGGTGGTGAAGGACAGAGAAGCCTGGTATGCTGCAGTCCATGGCGTTGCAAAAAGTCAGACAAGACTGAGCGACTGAACAAAAACAACACCTGACCAGGTAAAGAATGTAGAAGGAGGACCTGTCCCAGGAAGGGAGCTGTCACCACAGATAAACACAGTGTGAACTGGCTGTGGCGACAGGAAGTAGCCTGCAGAATCTCTCTGTTATCCTTCCCTCCGTGTCCATCTCTGCCTGCCCACCAATAACTGCCACCACACAGCAACATTTCCATCTCGATGTGAAATGCCTCCTCTCTGTTTGAAGTCCTAACCCCCTGTCCCCAGCATCCCCTTCTGTCTTTAGCTGAAGACGGTATTTAAGATGAAGGTTGGGGACATTTTGGTGAGTGCATCGGTTTTCCTTGTCTCTTCCAGGTACGTGTGAGCTCAGTCCCTCAGTCGTGTCTGCCTCTTTGCAACCCCATAGACAGTAGCCCACCAGGCTCCTCGGTCCACAGGGATTCTCCATGCACGAATACTGGAGTGTGTTTCCATGTCTTCCTCCAAGGGATCTTCTTGATCCAGGGATCACACCTGAATCTCCTCTGTCTCCTGCAATGCAGGCAGATTCTTTACCACTGAGCCACCAGGGAAACCCCTTTCATGCATATGCTGCTGCTGCTGTTACTAAGTCGCTTCAGTCGTGTCTGACTCTCTGCAACCTCATAGATGGCAGCCCACCAGGCTCTGCCATCCCTGGGATTCTCCAGGCAAGAACACTGGAGTGGATTTCCATTTCCTTCTCCAATGCATGAAAGTGAAGAGTGAAAGTGAAGTCGCTCAGTTGTGTCCAACTCTTCGTGACCCCATGGACTGCAGCCTACCAGGCTCCTCCGTCCCTGGGACTCTCCAGGCAAGAGAACTGGAGTAGGTTGCCATTTCCTTCTCCGTTCATGTATATATGCATTATTAAATTTGTATTTTATTGTCTCCTGTTACTCTATTCCATGTCAACTTAATTCTTAAGCCATCCAGAAGTACCTAGAAGGATACAGGAAATTTTCTTCCTCCCCAACTGCAGTGCTCCTGAGGCCAGAACTCCTTGGCAGTGCAAGTTCTCCTGAGGAGAAGGACAAGAGACAACTCCTCTGCTCCCCACCAGGGAGGTGAATGTCTGGGTGACACAAAGCTTAACATCCTCCCTCTCCCAGTCCACCGCATACCCATGAAAAAGGGGCACCCCTGCGAACTTCCAAAGCTCCGGATGACTTGTAATTCAATTTCAGATTTGCTTATCCTTGACCATTGATCACAAATTGGTTGCATCTTCTAAAATCTAACTCCTGTTTCTATACAAATCATCACCAGAAACCCCAGGTCTTATGTTCAATCACTGCTGACTCTATACAGCAGTCCTTGGAATCTCAGGAGAGAAGCTGCCCCCAGAGGGGATGCTCTTCCACTCTGGGACACCCCAAGATTCTTGGCATAGAAGGCCTATCTTTGCTCGAGGCCAGCTCTGAGATGGAGAGTTTGTTCTGGGTCCCTGAGAGCCAGGTTCCAAGTGTGATGGGAGGGTTGGTGGCTGCACACCCCTTCCCCTGGCACGCTGCCTGTGATTCCAAGTGTGTTCTGCTCACTTTGCTCACATGTCCAGACACACAGGTATCTATTCACACAGGGCTCCCTTCCTCTCTCACCTCCTTTCTCTCCTGAACACTAGCTCACACAGCTTTGAAACTCACTTCCCACTCACCCCAGTGTGACCCTCCTGTTCCAGCGCCTGGTAGGAGAAAGGGGTTGATGCCAGTTCCTGCATGGAGACGTTCTCTGTCCCTGCCGCCCTCCACTCCTCTGGGCTACAGGGACCGCACATCACCAGGGAGGTGGATGGAGGATGCGCATGCCAGGCAGACAGCCCAGCAGGGACCTGGCCAGGCAAGAAGTCAGAAACCTTGTCTGCTGGCTAGGGAGTCTGCAGCGCCCCGCGGGAGGCGGCTGGGAGTTGGCAAACACGCCGGGCACCTGGCAGTGGCAGTGGTGCGGCAGGTATCTGGGGTGCGTGTTGTGTTCCGACTCTTCCTGCCCCCCTGGGCTCCTGGGTGCTCTGCTGCCTACGGGGATGCACTCAGGAAGCCTGTGGGGAGGGCCCTGATCCCCGGAATCAGAGAACACCTCCCAGAGACGAAAGGAAATGCCTGCTGGGCATGAGGCGGCGGGGAGGGCACTCAGAGTATGAAGTTCTGTAGCTGCCCTCCTCTCCCAGGCGTGTCCGTGGGGCTGGCACTCCCCTGGACACCACCACGTCCAGCAGGACCTCGCCTCCCCACCCCTTCCTGCTCCCCACCCAGCATCCCTCTGGACACAGCTGCCCTGGAGAAGGAAACAGCGGTGATTTCTGCAGAAACCTGAGGCGGGGGTCTCCTCACATCCTCTCAGAGTCCAAGCACCAGCTGTCCACTACCCACCCTGGACTTTCTGGGTTGACTCCTCATGCCAACCCCAGGCCGATGTTTCTGTGACTCTAAGCTGACCAGACCACTGATGGATTAGATACCTTTGGCCTTTAGGAAACGTCTCAGCTGCTCCGTAGGACACTCAGAGGCTTGCCCGCTGACTCCTTAGCCCCACTCTTGGACACATGTGCCTCAGGCTCTCCCCGCTCCTACTCCACACAATACACACATACGTGTGCACCTTCCAGCCTACATCACATCTTCTGCCTGAAACGCTCTCCACTAGATTTGATCCTACTTCTTGTTCCAGGTTCTGTTCTGGCCTCAGCCACCTCTTCCAGGCAGCCTTCCTTGACTTGCTTTGTTTCCTTCTACCACACCATACACATCCCACTATTAAAATACACACTCATCCTACAGTTCCCTTCGTGTGTCTCACATGTGTCTCCTCCTCCATGCTCTGAGTTCCATAAGGGCAGGATCTGGGCCCAGCTGGGCCCTTGACAGGTACTTAACAAACATTAGTTGAAGGAAGGAAGGGGTCAGAACAGTGACTCATGCTGACGTGTCTATACCTACTTTGTGTCTGTATTTTTCTTTTTCTTAAGGTTCTACTTGAAAAAGAAAAGTACAAACCAAACTGAAAACAAAGCAAAACATTCTTCTGCTACTTTGCCGTCTTTCAAACACCCTTCCCCCACTTTTCTTACAATTCCCAATACAAGTCACTGAAAATTCACGCGGTTGAGGGAAGATATACCCAGAGGTAAGGCCATATTGGTTAGGATTCCAGGTGGAGTGTTTGCACCTGGAAATGGGTTCTGGCCCCTTGAAGTCCCTCGTGTAGGAGATGAAGGCTGTTATCTCCTGCTCTAATGTGTGGAAACTCACTCTTGGAGACCTTAAGTGATGTCCACAGGGTCCCTTGCTTTCTGTCTCCAAATACAGTTTTCTTTTCACGGACTCAGAGCTGTGGCTTTGCGGGCCGCTCACATCTCCAGAGAGGAAAAAAGCAGAGAGTGGGGCTGCAGGGCCTGCCCGGCCCGGGTACTGGTCCAGCTGGGGACCCCAGGCCCGCCCACACTGATCAGCACAGGAGGATGCCCACGAGAGGAGGACCTGCTGTCCAGGCAGGTGTGGATCCCAGGCCCCGGCCGCGAGGCCCTCTCAGAACCCGAGCTGGCCAGAGGAACAGCTCAGCCCATCTGCTCGGCGATGCGGCCACACAGGAGGTCTGTGTGCTCCATCCAGCAGCGCCTCCACTCAGCCTGGAAGGCCTTATTGCCTCAGTCTCATTATCAAGCTCTGGAGGCCTGAAGAGACTAATAACCAGGACCGCCAGGGTCCCGGAGAGCTGTGACGAATGTCAATTATCCATCGGAAACATCTGGACAGAATGAAAGCCCCCGAATAAGATGAATTTTTATTCGTAGCCAAGTGACTCACCCAAGAACCGCCCCCTTCCTTCCCCTGACCCCTTCCTCCTGCCACTTCCCTTCCAGCTCCAAGTTAGAAAAAGAGAGAATGGGGTAAGCAGAGGCCAGCATGCAAGGCCAAGGTCCAAGAAGATCATCGCATTAGAGCATCGTGTGCAAAGAAAGAGGCGGGCCTGCTACAGAAGGGCCCAGACGTGGAGCTATTCTGGGCACTGACAGGTCCCCATTAGTGCTGCCAGCAAAGACAAGTTAGACTTTGCAGGGGAGGCACCCGGGGAGAATCGATGTCCTTGGGGATAGTTAATCTGAATTGACACAGGGCCGGCCCGAGGTCAGGCGGTCCCCACCGGGCTGCCTCCTGGGGTTAGCGCAGAAGAGAATGCATCTTGCAAGAAGGTGATAAGTCTTGCGCCCCCCAGCCCAAGGCAGCAACTGCCTGGAAAGTAAACATACCAACCTTTCCCAGGGGGCAGAGTTGTGGTTTTCACTTCTAAAAGAAATGAAAAACAAGCCACTGTTAAGGCAGAAAGCAGGCAGAGACATTTAATTTACCCTCCGATGGTTTGGGGGAAGGAGGCTGAACCGGCCCAGACCCCATACTGTCCTGGCCACAGTCCAGCNGGAAAGTAAACATACCAACCTTTCCCAGGGGGCAGAGTTGTGGTTTTCACTTCTAAAAGAAATGAAAAACAAGCCACTGTTAAGGCAGAAAGCAGGCAGAGACATTTAATTTACCCTCCGATGGTTTGGGGGAAGGAGGCTGAACCGGCCCAGACCCCATACTGTCCTGGCCACAGTCCAGCCCTTGGACACGTGCCCCTCCTCTATGCTGGGAAGTCAGTTGGCATAGGTTGCGTGGGGCTTGGGGCAGGATGCTCACATTGGATCTCTGACTCAGAGATCCACCATCCCCGCGTGTCTTGGCTGGGGAAGCTGGTACCCTGGAGCCTGAGCCCCCAAGCCAATAAATACTTCTCTGTAGAACAACCTTTTTTCTTTAGCCACCAGACTATCCTCTAATTGGTTGAAGTCTGCAGAAGTAGAAGTTGAAGAGTTAGTCATGCGGCTGTGTTTGACTCTCTGCGATCCCATGGACTATAGCCTGCCAGGCTCCTCTGTCCATAGGATTTTCCAAGCAAGAGTACTGGAGTGGGTTTCTGTGCCCTCCTCCAGGATCTTCCCAACCCAGGGGTTGAACCTGGGTCTCCTGCATTGCAGGTGGATTCTTTATCCTCTGAGTCACCAGGGAAGCCCTGAAGTCTGCAGGCTTTATTATAAAACTAAAGCCTAGGCCCTCCTGCAGTAACATGAATGCAGGTGCCCATGCTCTGTTTGATCTGTAAAGTTAACCGGCATTCATCTACGCGTCTTTGAGATATTAGTGAGCGAGGTTCTGTGTACTGGAGGAGGGCAGACCTTTGATACCTGACCTCTCTTGATGAGTCAGACTGTAACCAGCTGGCCCCGAGGGCTTCCTCTCTCTGGGGTGATCCAAGGCAGTAAGACCTGCATCCCTGCTGCTGGGACCTGCCTGGGAAAATGCTGGGCATCAGCTCCCCTCTGCTGGCTGGACCAGGAAAGACCTCCATTCACCAGTCCAGGTTCTTGGGACAATGCATAGAGCCTATCCTACTGACTGGCCAGAAGCAGGCTGACCTCTCGTCTTTCCTCGTTAGCTGGGGGCCTCTGCATGCGTTCACCCTGGATACAGAGGATGGGAAATCCTTCCACAGGATATGTGTATGTGTGCGTGCTAAGTCACTCCAGTCATGTCCGACTCTTTGTGACACCATAGACTGTATCCCACCAGGCTCCTCGGTCCGTGGGATTTCCCAGGCAAGAATACTGGAGTGGGGTGCCATTATCTTCTCCAGGGGATCTTCCCAACCCAGGGATTGAACCTTCAACTCTTATGTCTCCTGTATTGGCAGGCAGTTCTTTACTGCTAGCATCGCCTGGGAAGGCCTCCACAGTGTGTATAAGTATCTAATCACCATGGCGCACAGAAACCAGTACAATATTGTAAAGTAATTAGCCTCCAATTAATAAAAATAAATGAAAAATAAATAAATAAATATCTTACAATTTTACTCATCCATTACACTTGAAATAAGGGAAAATAAAACTGAGAAAAAGAAAATGACATTAAAGCCTCTGCATCGAAGTGATAGCATTCTCCGTGCAAAGATCCTTGCATATAGAAGGAAGGATAACCTAGAGATGACTCCATCTAGACTCAACCAGAACATTTGACCAAAATCACCTTAGTGTGTCCCCATGTATTCAAACTCTCAGTCTGCTCTTTGAAGGCACCTGAGACATGATACAACTCTTGATCCAACCGGACATTAGCTGCCCCAAGAATCTACTCTGGAAAAGGCTGTGGGCAGATCAATAATCAAAGATCAAAGTGGCGACTCAGAGAAGTCAAGGGTCAATCCATAACACTATCTTTCTGCCACCAAACCCAGCTGAATCCAAGTTCTTAGGTGAGCACAGGGCTGCTGTCTGTACTAGTGAGCAGAAGAGGGCTGGATTCATGGCAGAATGGATACATAGGATACGCAAACGCTCCAGAAATAGGGCGAGCGGATTTTAGTTCGGTACCTTCTGTATTCAGACACGTGCCATAGAAATGCTAACTGCTGGGAAGACTGGGTTTAATGAGCTCTCTCTCATCCTCAGCAGGGAAGAATAGATCCTCTCTCCCATTGCAACTGTTTCTTCTGATGCACAGAGTTGACTTGCTCCCCCATCCTCTATTAAGATGATTTGAGGGTCACTGCGAGGTTCGGCCAGCATGAATCAGCCGACCTTCCCCAGACCACTGATACCATCAAATCTGACTCCTCGCCCAGCAGAGAAAAGACCATGGACCAGGCATGGGAAATGAACCGCCACCGAGCCGCTGAGTGCGTCCCCGGCACACTTGCCTATGAGGGAGGGCATGAGGGATGGTGCGGGTCCACCAGTCTAAGGACTGGCACGAATCCTGCAGGAGTCATGGCAGCCCTACATGGTAACGCAAGAGGGGGACATGCAGTCCACTGCATTTGCGAGGGGGGAGCAGAGAAATACGTCTGGGTGGCAGAAAATTCTGAGAACGAACGAAATTCTCTTTTCTGGATCCTTCTGGACCATTCGGAAACTGAGTAACAAAATGGCTTGGAATGTCTTTTAAAGCTAAGTGTTCCTCATGGGTGGAAATCCTTCTAGATGAGAGGAGCATAACCTGGGTGTATTCCAGAGAAATGAGGCAGCTCTCTGTTCCTGGGTAGGCTGGCCATGCAGGAGGGAAAAGCAAGACAAACACACACAGAGAGCAATGCATAAGATAAAGGCCCCAAGGGCATGGTCTTTTTTCTCTAATACAGCCCTAGTGTACAAGAGTCTGACAGCTACACTGAAGACCACACTAATCCAAGTCTTGGAATGTTCCAGGATTCTACCATCTACAACACTGGCCTTGACCCATTGCCCTGCACCCAACGAGAAGGGCGATGGGGTGGGAGCAATGTAGAGAAGAGAGCTGGCATGGAGACCCTGCCCCACCTTCACAGCGGATCACAGAGCACAGAGCGGGGGTGAGGATGCTCAGCTCTGAGTCAGCAGGTGGAGCCTCTGCTCCCAGTCCCCTGCTCAGAACCAGGCAGGGATTTGTTTGCTGCTGGTCAGTTTTGTTACTGTTGGCTTCAGTGTGGGACGTGCTCCCTTCATCCCTGGGGTGCACCTGCAGTGGCGTTCTAACTCCTTAGCAACCAATCCCTGGTTTAAAAGCTCCCTTTCCAGCTGAGAATACAGACATCAGTGATCACAATGAGCTGAGTCACTCTAAGTCACTCAAAGTCCCTGGCAACTTGTCCTCTGCCCTACCTCCAGCCTCTCACACGTCCTTTTCACCATATGTCCTTTGCTACTTTTCCAATGTTCTTCGAGATCTGTGCATATGCCTTGGCCAGGGGTTCAATAAGCATACATTGAATCACTAATTGAACCTGGAGCCTTCCATTGACTTCCCTTTCTTTCTATTCCTGTTTCATTTTCCTGTTTGTGGTTCATCACCATGGCACTCTATATCACTAAGGTGAATACTGCATCCCTGAATCTTGTCACCATAAAAGCTTTCTCCTCTTCTGTCAAATAATTTCCCATATAACTCATTTCTTCCATCTCCCCCTCCCCAAGTCTAATGCCATCCTCTGATGATTGCTTGCATGGCCAGATGTGAATGGATGAACAAGATGAGGGGGGCTGCTAGGTGGGATGAGAAGGATGGCGGGAAGTGGGGAGAGATCCTCTCTTCACTGTGGTCACAGCCACTTTCCTGCGGGGCTCTCCGAGGGTCGGCACTGTCCTCAGCAGGAAAAGGTAGCACACGCGGCATTCGTCCAATTCCACCACTCAGCCTGGGCCCACTTCTGAGCATTTAGTCATGGCCTAAATGAATCACTTTAACTAGGCTAGGGACCTTGAGACAATTTGAGGGGCTGAGTAAAAAGAGGCGAGAGATGCAGGTATCACAGGCTGGGGAGGGCTGGCATGGAAGAGGTGGGAAGAAGTTAGGGAGAGGGCTTGAGAAATGAGTTCATGAACCCCTGGATCGTGATATGGGGTAGGGGGGTGGTCCCTGTAACCAGAGACTGAGCTCCAATGGTTCAAGACGCACCTGGTGGTTTTCAAAGCCTTTTTACTATGTGTTCTCAGGTGAAGGCTAGAACAACTCTCAGATTGTAAGGCGGGTGGTCAATTCTATGGTCCAGAAGAGGAAATTGAGTCTGAATGATACTTCCTGACTTGCCCAAGCGCACAGCACCCGTGGAAGTCGGGTTCTGGACAGGAGCTCAGCGGCGTCCACTCCAAGGACCTTGCAGGGGCACCTGCCCACCTTCCTCCCTGAAGACACTCCCCATGAATGCTCTGTGACAGCTTAGGGACCCTTCGAAACTCCCTGCCCTGGGGGTTTGCTTCTGTGGCTGGTGGGGGTGGGAGCTGTCACTGGGGCTCCTATGAAAAGCATTCAGTGGGTGGACTTCTCTGCCTGTTGCCCCAAGCCTCACTCTCTGAGCCTTTTGTCTCCATGCAGACCTCCAGGCTTTGAGAGGATAGGGTTATTTCTTTTCCTCTCCCTTCCCAGCCCTTCAGGGGAGGTAGGCAATGTGAGCAGAGAGTAAGGGGGTCCTTGGAGTTTCATCGGCTCCCAGTAACCCACTTCGCGCCTGCCACCATCCACTAGCTGCTGGACAGACAGGAGCCTCGGGGAACACACAGCAGGGCAGGGGGTGGGGGCTCTGGGATAAAGCGGGGAGGGGAGAACCCATAAAGCAGGGAGGACGGGGGGATACTGACCTTGCAACAAAGATGAGCTTGTAGGCTCACTTAGCTCTATATCGGGTGAGGGACACACAGGAGAGAAAAATGAAAACAAACACACATTATATACAGTAGCTATATATCCATCATATATAGTTTGTATACCGCTTTTCACAAACATTTCTGGAGGGATGGAGAAATAAAGGAACACACAAAAACCAGAGGTGGTGGGGCAAGATGCAGATGAGGAATGGTGAAGGGCTGGGTGCATGCACACGGGATGCTGAGGTTGGAAGGCGAGGGGCTGGCCATGCATTCTCAGCCCCCGCAGGAGCACGGGCTCTGGGCGTGTGCTGAGCTGGGGTGCTGACTTAGAAGCAGAGGACCAAAGCCTCTTTCCAAATGAGATCTGTGTCTCATCCATAGCTCCACTGGTTCACTTGGGGAGACCAAGTGCAGAGATTTCTGGCCTCCCAGCACCACGGCAGGAGCTAGCCCCGCCCCGCCCCCCCCACCCCAGGAATCTCTGTGATTCAGGATCCCAGGGGCTAAATTCTCCCGGTCCCATGATGCCTCTGGAAACTTAGGGACAAGGTTCTCAGAATCCTACTGGTAGGGTTCCTGCTAGGAAGGAACACCCCTACCCCGTTTGGCTGTAGTACCTCAAAGGTATTGACCCAGAAGGAATCTAACCAGCACCAGCCTCCCTCACTTTTCAACGTCAGGTCATGTGTGCAGCTTCCGAGTAGGTTGGTGGCAAAATGATGCTAATTTAGCTGGCTCTCGGATGCTACAGGAGAAGGCATTTCATCACAAAGGTTGTGTATTTGCATAAAGCAAAGGCTGCTTTCTAACTTGCCCAAGTCGGCTTGATGGGTCTGATCACAGGAAAGGGCATAGAAAACTCGCTGGCACGTTTATATTTGTCAAGAGGCCTTATTGATAGTGGGTGTTGATAAAGAGTTGAGGGGCTGGGCTATGTGGACCAGCTGCAGTGTGAGCCAAAGGGGTGGAAATGCAGGCGTGGCATGTTAATGGGATTCCGTAGCCCCATGGGACTAGGCGTCACCCAGGTGGTGATGCTGTGACGGGCTTCTCAGAAACGCTCTCTTAAATGAGGCTATAAACCTGGTTGCTTTTTGATTAAATTTGGAAATGTTCCAAACTGTTTCTCCCTCTTAGAGATTTAGCATGCAAGGGCTCTGAGCCCTTCTGTGTTAAAGAACATCCCCACATGGACCCAGTTCATCTTTGTTTGATCTGAGTCTTTCTAAACTTACTTGAATCCATACTATCACTTTTCCATACATGCTTTTAGAGAGTCCCCTGGACTCCAGAAAGCTGGCAACTGTAGGGCCGTCCCACATGACACACGGGGTGCAGGGGATGTTGACAGACTGCCGGGGATGCGGGCAGAGGTCTTAATTGCCAAACACGGGTCTGTGGAAAGGAGCAGATTTATGGCGCATGCTTCACTGCATTGCTTGTCACAAATGCCGGTATTTCACTCTTAAAGTTTGCTTTTTCTCTCTTCTCATCTTAGATGGCTTCAGGGGACGAGGCCAGGGAATTAGACAGCAGTGATAAAGTCAGTTGCAAAACCATTTCATGCATCTGATTCGGAGGAGCAAAGGGGTCAAAGGAGGAGGGAGACTGTTTACAGGGAAGAGGAAGGCTGTGGGAGGAGGGCGGGGAGAGCCTTGGATCTGGGAGGCAAGGGGAGGCAGGGCCGCCCCTTCCTAATCATGGCCCTTCTGTTCATGCAGACAGACACCTGCCAAAAAGCCAAAAGGCTGACAAACGTGAGTGGCCCTGATGACTGTCCCTGGGTGGGAGGCGTCAGACACATCAATCAGTCTAATCACAGCTCTGCCCATTCCGGTCTGCCAGTCCTGGGATCAAGGGCAGCCTACCCCCTCCCAGCCCTGGAGGATAAAGCTGGGCTTTATTTTATGTTTTGGGTAAAAGGGGGGATGGAATGCAATTTGGAAATCTGGATGGAGCAGGGGAAGAGCACAGGTGGGCTGTCTGGATCTGATCGGGGTCTGTGGTGCCATGGAGGAGATGTGGCAGGGTGGACAGGGGATGAGGGGTGCTTTATGGAGCTCTGGGATTATCTGGGAATTCTCAGAATAAAGGGGTTTAGGCTCCTGCCAATGATCTGCTAGCTTCCTTACCTTTCCCTCCCCAGTACACTCGAGAGTGCTTGTTAACATGGGAGATGGGGGAACAAATCGAAGGGTTCGAAGCTAAGGTACTAGCTGGGGCCTGGAGGGATGTGCCTCCCCCAACCCTCAACGCCCCGCAAAGCAACCAGAAATGAGCCCCATGGGCTGTGTGGGCAGCTCGCTTCTTCCTGGGGAGAGAGCCCGTCAGAGCTGCAGAATGGCTCTCGGGCATCCAGGCTCAGGTCTGTGTGACTGTTCTCCCCACAGAAGCATGAGACCTGGGGATCTAAGTTTGTTTCCTTGCCTCCTTCCCTTGATTCTGGCAGCCTTCCAGTTGCCGGGGTGCAGTGAAGGCACCGCACCTTGCCTTGCCCACAGTAGTCCTTCAATAAATAGTGACTGAATGAATTAATGCATGAATGACTATGCGACTTCTGTCGAGATGGTGGCTCAGTTGGACAGATAATATCTTAATGCAGCCCGACAACACCCTGGGACACAGATGGAGAACCAGGGACACACCCACTGGCTATGTTAATTCTCCCTCTGACACTAACATTACTCAGGATCCCAAGGCCCATGAGTCTACTTTTATCAATGCAATGAAGTTTCTCATATCCTGAGGACCGGACAACGTTTCAGAAATGGTAACATTTCACACTCATCCAGGGAAAATGTATGGAAGTAGTTTATGTTCCTCTCTGGGTTCTTGATGACTAGATCCAATTGCAATCCCCACAGTCAGTTAAGGAGGTACTCGGGGGAAAGTTCAATGACACTTCAGTATCCCCCAAACCCTTTCCTGCAGTGTCAGGACTTCTAGTACAGAATGAAACCCGGTGTCTTCTTTCACACCCGTGCTGTTTCACTCTCTCCCCCTCCCTCCCCATCCCTGTCCTTCTCTCCCCCCCCCGCCTAACTACTCCTGACTCTCTTCCTTGCCCCCCATCTTCCCCTACTCCCCCCCCCACACTGTGCTCCTTGTTGTCTAGCTTGGGGCTCCATCTCACCGAACAGTGTGATGCTGGCATTGGTGTGACCCAGCTTGTTGGAGGCCACACACGTGTAGTTCCCATAGTCGTGTTCAGAGACGTTGAAGAAGATGAGTTTTGAGAGGAAAGGTCTGTTTTCCACTTTGACCCCCTTCTTTCCTTCAACCAGCCTGAGACAAACAAGAGACCGAAGAGAGAGGAAAAAAGGGATGGTTATAAGTATTTTTCCTTACAAGGAAGAAGAAACACTCTGGAATTAGTGATCTTCCCTCTTCCCCCTTTCTGGCATCACTATAATCCCATTTTTTTTTCCACTCAACTACACAACAAGTTCATCACCATGACGCACGTAATTACATTTCTCTGTTTTATGTGTGTGCCCGGAGACATGCTTGGTACAATGCAGATCTTCATCTCTCTATGCAGTTATTGACATTCTCTGAAGGCAGGTGCCTTCAACAAATACAATGCGCCAGCTGTGTGCCATTCAGCCCCACACGATCTGAGCAGTAGGTGCTGGAGAATTGACGTTATTGATGAAGATGATGATGGTGATGATGATGGCAGCCATGAAAATGAAGAACCTAGTCTTCAAACAGGAGAAAAACCCGATGGGTTTGAAAGAGCAAAGCTTTTCATGCACCTGGTAGTAAAACTGTCCCTTAAGAACTTGAGACATTTTACAGACAGTAATTTATCTTTGGCTGTGATCAGGATAAAAGAATCAGGGGCTGTTTTTACATTAGGGGACCCTAATGGACCTGGGAGGGGTGATCTTTCCACTGGATTAGAGCATCTCATCCTGGGAGGGATTACAGAAGCCCGAGAGTGTGGCCTCATGTGGCCAGGACCACCTCCCTGGCTGTCTTACCCAGACTTGGAGTTCAACGTGTCTCAAGGGCTCAGAACAATAGCTGGGGGCCACTGATAAAAGCCAGGGGGAGAGGTGGGGAGGACAGCCAGACACACTTGTTAGAAGTGCGGACACTATTACAGGGCAGGCAGAGAGGGAAAGGAAAAGCTGTTTTCGGTGGTTGGTGGGGCCTCATTCTCCTTTGGAGGCTGTTAGGAGCAATTCCTATTGAACCTGCATGTCTGCATGGAAATCATGAGATCAGCGCTCTTCTCTGTAAAAACCGCTGGGATATCCTATTTCGGAGAACAGGCTTTAAGCCAAACTGTTTGTTTCCCTGAAATAATTTGTCTTCCTTGCACAGAAGCTGTCTATGCTACAGGAAAGATAACCACCAGTGGGGACAACCATCCTTCTAAATGGAGGATTTCAGGGATTGATCCCCAAAGCTCAGCTGCCTGTGTAGGGTATGGCTGGAGCAGGACATGTAGACAGGACAATATGTCAAGGTGGACACATGTTGGAATGGGTTTGCAGGGCAGAAACTGAGGCAAATGGCTGGTACTGGAGTCATCCAATTGAGAAAGACAATATTCTGGGCAGAAATAGAAAATAAAGCCCAGCAGGATAATGATGAGAAAATGCTTTGTAAACCATAAAATGTTATGCAAAATAATATATTTCTGTGGAGTGAGACACTGCAAACTCCTTCCTGTCCCTGGGCCACAGGACAGTTTTGACAGTGACATCAGCTGCTGTATCATCATCTGAAGGTGTCCACTCTGCAGGACAAGTGAACGGTTCTCTCCATTGCCAAGACGTGTGACCGCTGTGAAGAGAAGAGCAGGATTCGGGCCTCTGTCCCAACCCAGCATCTGTCTCCAGGGAAGTCAGAGCAGGGCTGGGGGAACATGTGTTGCTTTCCATCCTGTAGATGTTCATCTGGGGGCTTTTCTCTCTCCCACGCGAGGGACGGCGAACCAGCCCGGGTCCATGTACTTTGTTATAACGTGAGCACAGTCCAAAAGGAATGAGGTGTCTGGCTGTGCAGCCAGAAGCCACTGTTCTATCTCCGGCTTGTTCTGTTGCTGTTCTGCAGGGGATGCTGTCCGTAGGAGGCTCTGTAGCCCTCCTGCTGGAGGCTTCTCTGAGTTCCTCAAACTTATTGATCCCTTTTGCCATTCTGACGCCATCCCTGGGCTAGGGAGGAAGTCGTCACATGGGGACCAAGCTGTGAATTAGATTTCAGCTCTGCAGTGGGGAGAGACACTTGCCCAGAAAGCAGGCTCTGCTGACAGCTCTGAAATGTCTTTAGCTAAAAGCAGAGCAGGGCGGCCAGTGGTATTCGGCAGCATTTTGCAGCTTCTGGGGTGACACTGTGTGTGGTCACACACTACCCCGTGCCACAGAGGACAGACGCCTCCGTGCAATGGGAGAATGGAGGTGTCTGAAACTGAGACAGCTGTGCTGAGACAGGTGTGCTGAAACGGAGCAGGACCCTGTGGAGCTCTGGTGCATAAAGCTTTTCTGTATCCCCAGTTTTCTAGTTTGTAGGAAATAGGTTTCATTCAGCCTCCTAGACCTTCCCTGAGTTGCAAAGGGCAGGTTCAAACACTTGCTAATTAGGGAAGGGAGGACATGCCAGACGGGGAGAAGTAGCCAAGAAGCTATGGAACAGCCTTGGGACAGGGTCTTGGTTCCCCTTTAAGGCCACTGGGGAGGCTGATAAGGGATACAATGCGCGCTAAGTTGCTTCAGTTGTGTCAAACCCCATGACCCCGTGAACTGTAGCCTGCCAGGCTCCTCTGGCCACGGGATTCTCCAGGCAAGAATACTGGAGTGGGTTGCCATACCCTCCTCTCCCCTTTAAGGGATACATATAATATCTTTGAGTTGTTTAGCAGATGTTGAAACCACCACCATGTGGGAAAAGTTAACTATAAACTGCCCACAAGTACAAAAGTTTAATGACGCTGACCCCTGATTATCTCACCATCAGCCAATCAGAAGAATGTCCACTAGCTGATCCCACCCTCTCTGAACCATTACTATAAAACTCCCCATTATCCCCTCCAGGTCGGGACACAAAGTTTTGAGGGCATGAACCCACTGTGGTCCCCCTTTCCTGCCAAAGCATTAAAGCTATTCTCTTCTTCTTCACCGAAAACTCTGTCTCTGAGATTCAATTCGGTGCCGGGGTACAGAGGCCAGTTCAGTAGCACTAACAGGCTTCAGCTTCTTCATGCTTTTCAACAACTTGAGTCCCTACAGATGAGTGGTCCTTATTAAGGACAGGATTTCCTTTCCTCTCCCTTTAGATCCATGGCATCCCCATCACAAGGACTCCTTTGATTGGTCTCAGAAATCCACTCATCTCCCCAGGAATGTCAGTTAGGTTAGAGCTGGCCTTCCCCCTCATGGGGGCCATCTTCCCTGGGAGACCTCCCTGGAGGAGCGACCTGCCAGGGGTCCAGGAAGGACAGGCAGCGACAAGACTTCAGACCAGAGATGCTCTTCAAGATCCTGGTGCCCGGAGGACAGACACCTCCATACAATGGGAGAACATGGGGTGGGGGATAAGTAAATGAAGAGCAAATAGAAAAACTGAGCGGAATGAACTAAAGGAGAGAAAAGGAGCTGCCTCGAAAAGGGCTCAGACAGAGGACTCAAAGCTGCCTGAGCCCAGGGCTCCGAAAGCCCCCTGCCCACGGAGATGCTGCCAGTCGGGCTCTGCCATCCTGGGTGAAGCCCACGGCCCCGTCCCTGGGGCACAGCAGCCATGCAGAGCTGAGCTCGCCCTTTGTGTGACCACCATTGGCCACTTCTGCCTGAGGGCTAATCTTTCCTCCACATCTTTTAAGATTTTGTTTCCTCCACATTTAGCTTGCATTTTCATCCCATCAAAGATTAGAAAGATAGGATGTAGCTGATTAACTTCCTTGAAGATCTAACCCATTGAAAGTTCAGGAATTTACCCTGGAGATTTTTGGCTTTTTGCTATGTTTTCTGATATTGGACTTTCATGCTTCAGTTTTCTTTTTAGTATAAAAGAAAAGATAAAATAGATGGAGAAAGCAAGCAGGATTTTGAAAAAAGATACCCACATTTATTTATTGGGAAAATACTATTCCCTTCTGCTTGATTATGAATTCTTGGGCAAAAGGAGAAAAGCCAGTTGTTTCTTCTAATCTCTTTCTGAGTCTGCTTTTACTCATTCTTTCTCAGTGCATGCATCTACAAAATGGGCTAGATGAATACAGTGCACCCAAGTTGCTGCCAGAATTGGTGCTTAAGAACAAAAAAGTAGTGCTTCTCACTTGGAAGGATTATAACGAGCCTCTGACTAAGTGATTTGGTTGTAAACAAAGTTCAGAGGTTAATGCAGAGACTAGAGGGGCTCTTGGTGCTGACTGGCCTTTTTTAAAAAAATTAATTTAAAAAATCCTTGGCTGCCCTGCGTGGCATGTGGGATCTGAATTCCCAGACTAGGGGTCAACTCTGCATGCCCTGCAAGGGAAGCAGAGTCCTAACCACTGGACCACCAGGGAAGTCCCTAACTTTATATTTTATTGAAGAATAGTTGATTTACAGTGTCATGTTAACTTCAAGTGTACTGCAAAGTGAGTCAGTTATACATTCATATATATACATATGTGTGTATGTATATATATATACATACGCACATATACACATATATATATTCTTTTGCAGATTCTCTCTCCTTATAGGTTATTCAGATGTTGAATATAGTTCCGTGTACTATTATATAGCAGGCCCTTCCCTTGTTGATTATCTCCTTTATATATATCTAACAGTAGTATGTATCTGTGAATCCCAAACTCCCAGTGTATCTCTCTACCTCCCTTCTCCCTGTGGTAAGCACGTTTGATTTCTACGTCTATGAGTTTGTTTCTATCTTGTAAATAAGTTCCTTTGCCATATTTTAGATTCCATATATAAGTGATGGTATATGGTATTTGTCTTTTTGTTACACTTCACTCACTATGATAATCTCCAGGTCCATCCAAGTTGCTGTAAACGGCATTATTTCACTCTGTTTTATGGCTGAGTAATATTCCATGGTATATACGCACCACATCTTCTTTGTCCATTCATCTCTCAGCGGGCACACAGGTTGATTCCATGTCTTGGCTACTGCACCTAGCATTGCCGTGAACACTGGCCTCTTAAGTAAAGGACTCCAGGAGCTGGGGATGTTGAGTCCTGCGGGCAGCAGCTGGGATGCTCTCAATCTGCGTCTTGGCCTGGAGCTGCTCACCCTCTCTCCTTCCTAAAGTTGCCCTTTTTGCTGCTTTTTCCTCGGCTTCTCAGGCTCTCAGGCTCCTTCCCCCTGCTGTACCCCACATACACCCCAGGACTCTGCATTGCCCCCTCCCTGTTTTCACCAAGTTGTGTTCTGACCGTGGACAGCTCTTGCCCATCAGCTGCTGTTCATCCACCTTAAAATAGCTCTTTGATGGCAGTAATTGCCTGGCTTTCGGAGCTGCTGAACCCTGTGCTAACACGCCATTTGATAACTCCTCGCGGTGACAAACCTCAGTGAATCAGGGCAAACATCCGGATGGCGGCTGCGACAACAGGAGGGGTCGGGGCGGCCCTTGTCTTTTCTCCCGCCGTGAGAGGACAGGCTCTGCACACAGCGAGGCCACGTCGGGTCACGGACACGTCCCCGCACCACTGAGTGTGTCTGGAATGGAACCAGAGTCCTCAGCCACGGCTGACTCAGCGCCGGGAGCACTCCTGGCGCCTTCATGCAAGCATGAGAATGCGTAAAAATAGCTGCGGGCAGAACACATTATTTCCCAGGCCTATAAAAAATTCACAGGCTTTCCAGGGCTCCTGGTGGCCTTTCCTTTGACAGTCCATTTTCCTAAAGAAATAGTTTTTCTTAGGCTCGCTGACTGGCGAGTGATAGTTCTGCATGGCGGCATTACAAACACAGCTGAAGTTCATCCACATCAAGAAGAGACTGGTCTGGGTACTGTTTCTCCTTCACAGGCAGGAGGCGTTCAAGAGAGGACTTTGCAGGAATCCATTTGCGTCCGTGTGGAACCAGGGACCTGGAAGTGCTTCCTTCTTCTTGGGGGAGGGAGAGGGGGAGGGAGTCTTACCTTTTGTCATCCTTGTACCACTGGAATTCTGCCGAGGGAACCGCGGAGGCTTCGCACTGCAGGGTCCCCTTCTGTCCCACAGGCACGCCGGTCCCCTTAGCTTCTGAAATGTATGGAGGATCTACAAAGAGAGGACATTCGACAGCATCTCAAATGCCTCCCTCGATCTGTTTTCCATGCCCCACTCTAACTCTGGTCTCCACGAAGTGCTGGAGAATGAAGCCATCCTGTATCACCAAGGAAAGGCTCGCATGCACTGTCTCTGCTCCCCTCTGGACACCAGTGGAATGAGCAGGCATTTAGGCCTATTTCCTGTTTAAACTTTTCCACTTTCATACGATATAGCCAAAACCATCCACCATATGCCCCATGGCTTGACAGTACCTTTAATCTAGCCCTATAGATTTTCTGCACACCAGGTTTTTGCCAGAGTATATAAGCTTGAACTATTCAATTCCCATCAAAAACTCAGTTGCAAGAAATAACAGTCACGGAGAATTGCCTGGGGGATATACAGATCCGTCATTCTTGGAGGTGTTCTACACTGGACGCTTGAATCCAGCCAGAACAACTTTACCTAAGTATTCAGCCTGCTTTCATTCCAAGTCTTTGCCAAACCACCCTTGTCAATGCCCACAGTTGCACTGAAATGCATTATGAAAAAGAGCCACAGCCAACCACTGCATGACCGTTGCAAGCGATGCTTGTTGTGCTCTATTTATAGGGACCTTAAAGTGAAATTATTTTTCAAGTCTCAGCACCAGAAAAAAGCAGTGCTTCTCCCAAGCAACAAATTCACTTTTATCTTATGGACATAAACCTCAAACCAAATGATGTTTCCTATCTTTGCTTTAGCACAGCACACAGCGAGGCCACGTCGGGTCACGGACACGTCCCCGCACCACTGAGTGTGTCTGGAATGGAACCAGAGTCCTCAGCCACGGCTGACTCAGCACCGGGAGCACTCCTGGCACCTTCATGCAAGCCTGAGAATGCGTTAAAAATAGCTGCGGGCAGAACACATTATTTCCCAGGCCTATAAAAAATTCACAGGCTTTCCAGGGCTCCTGGTGGTCTTTCCTTTGACAGTCCATTTTCCTAAAGAAATAGTTTTTCTTAGGCTCGCTGACTGGCGAGTGATAGTTCTGCATGGCGGCATTACAAACACAGCTGAAGTTCATCCACATCAAGAAGAGACTGGTCTGGGTACTGTTTCTCCTTCACAGGCAGGAGGCGTTCAAGAGAGGACTTTGCAGGAATCCATTTGCGTCCGTGTGGAACCAGGGACCTGGAAGTGCTTCCTTCTTCTTGGGGGAGGGAGAGGGGGAGGGAGTCTTACCTTTTGTCATCCTTGTACCACTGGAATTCTGCCGAGGGAACCGCGGAGGCTTCGCACTGCAGGGTCCCCTTCTGTCCCACAGGCACGCCGGTCCCCTTAGCTTCTGAAATGTATGGAGGATCTACAAAGAGAGGACATTCGACAGCATCTCAAATGCCTCCCTCGATCTGTTTTCCATGCCCCACTCTAACTCTGGTCTCCACGAAGTGCTGGAGAATGAAGCCATCCTGTATCACCAAGGAAAGGCTCGCATGCACTGTCTCTGCTCCCCTCTGGACACCAGTGGAATGAGCAGGCATTTAGGCCTATTTCCTGTTTAAACTTTTCCACTTTCATACGATATAGCCAAAACCATCCACCATATGCCCCATGGCTTGACAGTACCTTTAATCTAGCCCTATAGATTTTCTGCACACCAGGTTTTTGCCAGAGTATATAAGCTTGAACTATTCAATTCCCATCAAAAACTCAGTTGCAAGAAATAACAGTCACGGAGAATTGCCTGGGGGATATACAGATCCGTCATTCTTGGAGGTGTTCTACCCTGGACGCTTGAATCCAGCCAGAACAACTTTACCTAAGTATTCAGCCTGCTTTCATTCCAAGTCTTTGCCAAACCACCCTTGTCAATGCCCACAGTTGCACTGAAATGCATTATGAAAAAGAGCCACAGCCAACCACTGCATGACCGTTGCAAGCGATGCTTGTTGTGCTCTATTTATAGGGACCTTAAAGTGAAATTATTTTTCAAGTCTCAGCACCAGAAAAAAGCAGTGCTTCTCCCAAGCAACAAATTCACTTTTATCTTATGGACATAAACCTCAAACCAAATGATGTTTCCTATCTTTGCTTTAGCACCTCGAAGCCAAATCCTGGACCCGCATCTGATCACCTCAGGCTATAAACTTCATGTGCTGATTTACCAATAGATTTCTTTTATTTCTCTACATAGGTTTTCCCCTTCTCTTACATCTCCTTACTCTTTAGGTTAATCTTTATTAACTGTAAATTATGTCATTTTAAAGGGAAATTGTGATAGGGTACAAAAATGGCATGATTGCTTCACCTGTTTCCTTGATTCTTCAAGTGCTTTGTGTTAATTAGGCTCAAATTGTAACAGAAACCAACATATTGAAGTAAAGAAGGAGTAAATATCAAACCAAGGTATTCTTCTTCTCTGTCCAACCCCACCCAAGTTTGGAAGGAGAAACTCTCCTTGTCTGCTGGTATAACTCTTGGATTCTATTCTGTCCTAAGAGCATCTGAAATTAGCACATCTGGGAAAACCTTCCAAATGTCCTAGAGACCCGAGTCAGGGTACCTAATGAGGAACCCAGAGAGAATGCATGAGGGCGCGGGGACATTGAGCAGCATTGATGTCAGAGAGAATTTGGATGGTGAAGGAAGAGGAGTGGTCCAGAGAAGTGGCCTCCAGCTTTTGGGGTTCAGTACTTCTATTAGCAAAAATCAGGTATGAGATATACCCTCTCACATCATATATGTGTATGTCTATCTATTTATAGTTCAATTGTGAATGTATACCATGTCCATCAACATAATTAGAAGAGGATGAGATAACATAAGTATACATAAAAATAAATTATAACACTTCTTCCATACACATGCTTTTTATTTTTGCTCCCTATTAAGGAGATGACTGTCCAGAGAATGAGAAGCTTGGTGACATTATGAGTAAAAATTGGGATTCAAAGACAAACTTGTATAAATTATGCATTGGATGTGATGTAATGATCTTTTAGGACTCTAAGTCAAGTTTTGGATTATATAAAATTACTTTTAGATCCCATTTATTTTCTTTAAGAGCTTAGAATTGTTGCTCTTGAAAGCAGAAAATGGCCAGTGAGGCTGCACCACTTCCTGCCCCGAGTCAGGGCTGGCACTGTGGTCCAGCTTTCTCTGTGGCCAGGAAGGCGGCATCTCCCGAAGGTGCTGGGTGGGGGCGCCTGAGACCACTTACAGTTCACGGTGACCTTGACTCTCCGCACCACTGGGGCCGCCACGTCGTTGGAGGCACTGCACTCGTAGTCCCCTGACTGCTCCCGGGTGATGCCCTGGATTTCCAAATATTCGTCCTCACTCACAAAGCCCACAGCTGCAGGAGAAGGGGTGAGGAAATAGGAAGAAACACAGCAAAGGCACAAGCTTAGCAAACCAAGTGTGGAGTGGTTATGTCTACAGAGCATCATGCTTATGCTCAGTCCAGATTCTCAGGATGGACTCCAGCTCTCCTGCCTGCCTCCCTTCTACCTCTTATATCACTAGCTTGTCCTCGGTTCCCCAGTGGACCAGGTACAATGCTTGTGCTCCTACCTGGACCAAGCACAGAGTCTGGAGAATTGCCGGTCCTCAATAAGTGATGAATAATGTCAATGTTCACCCTCCCCGAATCTCACCAAGCAGTCAGGCTCTGGGTCTGAGATAGGCACCCCCATCCCACCCCTCTAGGTCATCACAGAGCACACTGGGATGTCTGGAGGAACAAATGATAAACCGATTACAAGAAAGCACTTTGAAACCCACTTTGAAAGCACTACACACTTGTGGCTTTTCAAACCCTCTTTGAAAGCACTATACAGTTACCCTATGATTTGCCTGGAGGTCCAGACTCAGAGGATCAGGGCTCTGTTAACACAGTGTGGGGGGCCCATTCTGAGGGGAAGGGAAGAGGCACAGTCCTTCCCCCAGGGCATAAAACCTCTCCATAATGCTGCCTGTATCTGTGATGCAGAAAATAAACATGACAATAAAAAGAAACTGATGTCATACAAAGAATTATGTGTGTGGTATGTAAATAAGGAGAAGAGGGCATCAGAGGATGAGATGGCTGGATGGCATCACTGATGCAATTGACATGAACTTGGGCAAACTCCGGGAGTTGGTGATGGACAGGGAGGCCTGGCGTGGTGCAGTCCATGGGGTCGCAAAGAGTCAGACACAACTGGGCGCCTGAACAACAATAATGACATGTAAACAATGCTTATATTTGCTCTGTGATGTTACTAAGATCACCATTTTTATAACGGTAATAGCAGGGGTGATGACAATGACACAGAAGACAATAGCTCTCATACACAGAAGGACCACTGCCTGCCCAGAGTGGCCGGCACTCCTGGGTCTTGATAAGTCTGTCATCATCCAGACCTAGTCCAACCTGAGCATCCCCCAGGTGTCCTTCTGCCTATGGAACCTGTAGTATACACATAGAGGAGCTCCCCTGCCTGTACCACCTGCGGATAGCATCTCTCACAGCAGGCAAACAAGAGTCAATCAATTCACAGGAAGAGCCAAGAACACGCTGAAAGTAGCAAGTAGGGCCCCAAAGTCCAGAATCTGAGAAGACAGTCAACATTAGCCCATAGAGACACATGGTCCCCACCAGTAAGCACAGTGTCCTTAATTGTCACAGTGGCCTTAATTGTCTCACTGCTCCCTAAGCATCTTTAGGGGAAAGAGCACTAACCTTGAACTGATGAAGGGTGGAGGAAACGAGGAGGAGAGGCTTAAATGAAGAGCTTGTGCTTCGTTTTATGTTGTCGTTGTTTATTTGCACCCACCATGAGCCTACATTTGTCAGATCTTCCCCACTAGATGCTGTAATTACTGTGCAGAGCATCTCGGACACTAGTGTCACACTTAATATTCCCATTAATTTTAAATGGTGGTCCTTGCTACATATGTGTGGCAATTGGTGTCATATTTTAATTAGGCTTGCCCTACACCATCTGAAATTAATAATAGCTCGAATTACCAGTGTAATTTATAAATTAACAGTGCCGTAGCATTAGGAGATAAATTAGCTCTGGACAGCTGTTTCTGGACTGAGCTCCAGTGTCAGGACAGTGGCTGGTAGGACCTCAGATCTCCTGGGAGGCTGTGATGACACCATCAAAGCAAGGAAACAAAACGGCGCAGGGTTCCCAGGTCCCTTGTTCTCTCCAACCACAGAGCATGCATCTGGTTTAATGCTGCCAATCAAACAGGTTCTTGTGTGACCACAGTAAGACTTAGAGGAACGAAACTCCGATGAACTTGCTATAGGAACATCCAAACGGAGAAGTTGAGGCAGGCAGAGAGGGGGATATTGCCATAGGGTGAAATGCAAGGGTGTAAATATTAGGGCAATCATAGTTAAAAAAAAATTCTCATGCTTTTTATGAGAACATTTTGCTACAGTATGTGAAATTTACAGTATTAATATCAGGCAATTTTATGTAGGGAAGGAAGTTGGATAGTTTAAGATTTGGGCAAAGTGTACATTTCCTACTGATCTACATCTGTATTACTAGAGGAAGAGAATTACACTAATATCCTGCAAAAACCAAAGAAGCTTAATTTTACTAACCTGTGTTCTCTAGAACAAATGGAGAATTAGAGAAAAAGTTCAGTCACTGAATTTGTTACAATATTGTTTCCCTTGCATGTTTTGGGTTTTTGGCCTGGAGGCATGCGGGATCTTAACCCCCTGACCAGTGACTGAACCCACACCCCAAGCATTGGATGACTCTGCACCGAAAGGCAAACTCTTAACCACTGGATTGCCAGCGAAGTCCCTACAGTTCAGTTCAGTTCAGTTGCTCAGTTGTGTCCGACTCTTTGCGACCCCAAGTACTGCAGCATGCCAGGCTTCCCTGTCCATTACCAACTCCTGGAGTTTACTCAAACTCATGTCCATTGAGTCAGTGATTTCATCCAACCATCTCATCTTCTGTCATTCCCCTTCTCTTCCTGCCTTCAATCTTTCCCAACATCAGGGTTTTTTCCAATGAGTCACTTCTTTGCATCAGGTAGCCAAAGTATTGGAGTTTTGTCTTCAGCATCAGTCCTTACAATAAATATGCAGGACTGATTTCCTTTAGGATGGACTGGTTGGATCTCCTCGAAGTCCAAGGGACTGTCAAGAGTCTTCTCCAACACCACAGTTTGAAAGCATCAATCCTTTGGTGCTCAGTTTTCTTTATAGTTCAATTCTCACATCCATACATGACTACTGGAATAAATATAGCCTTGACTAGACAAACCTTTGTCGGCAAAGTAATGTCTCTGCTTTTTAATATGCTGTCCAGGTTAGCCATAGCTTTTCTTCCAAGGAGCAAGTATCCTTTAATTTCATGGCTGAAGTCACCATTTGCAATGATTTTAGAGCCTAAGAAAATAAAATCTGTCACTATTTCCATTGTTTCCCCATTTATTTGCCATGAAGTGACAGGACTGGATGCCATGATCTTGGTTGTTTTAACGTTGTGTTTTAAACCAGTTTTTCACTCTCCTCTTTCACTTTCATCAAGAGTCTCTTCAATTCCTCTTCAATTTCTGCCATAAGGGTGGTGTTATCTGTATATCTGAGGTTATTGATATTTCTCCCAGCAATCTTGATTCCAGATTGTGCTTCATCCAACTCGGCATTTCGCATGATGCACTCTGCATGTAAGTTAAATAAGCAGGGTGACAATATACAGCCTTGACGTACTCCTTACCCAATTTGGAACCAGTCTGTTGTTCTATGTCCAGTTCTAACTGTTGCTTCTTGACCTACATACAGATTTCTCAGGAGGCAGGTCAGGTGGTCTGGTATTCCCATCTCTTGAAGCATTGTCCACAGTTTGTTGTGATCTACACAGTCAAAGGCTTTGGCGTAATCAATAAAGCAGAAGTCCCTACACTTCCTGATTAAATTGGGTAAGGCATATGAAAATTAATATGTATAGATTAAAATGCTTATACATTTTAGCTTTCATTGTCATATTTTTCATCTTTCTCCCCAAATACTTTTTCTCAATTTGAAGCAAAAATATCAAAACCAGAGAGAAAGCTAGTATATATACATATATGGGTTTCCAAGGTGGCTCAGTGGTAAAGAACCTGTCTGCCGATGAAAAGGACACAGATTCGATCCCTGGTCCAGGAAGATCCCCTGGAGAAGCAAATGGCAAACCCACTCTGGTATTCTCATCTGGAAATCCAATGGACAGAGGAGCCTGACAGGCTACAGTCGATGGGGTCGAAAAGACTCAGAGACGACTTAGTGACTAAACATACATACATATACATACAAAACAAATAAAACTCTGAATCACCAGAAATGAGGTAACTATCAGTACTACTTAAACAAGCAAACAGAAAAGAAAAAAAAAAAACACATATTCTCATCTGGAAATCCAATGGACAGAGGAGCCTGACAGGCTACAGTCGATGGGGTCGAAAAGACTCAGAGATGACTTAGTGACTAAACATACATACATATACATACAAAACAAATAAAACTCTGAATCACCAGAAATGAGGTAACTATTAGTACTACTTAAACAAGCAAACAGAAAAGAAAAAAAAAAAACACTTAACTGAAATCTGGATTTATAATGATTCAAGGAAAGTTTTCTTTTAGTAGCATCTGTGCTCTGGCTATGAAATGATCACTGCTTTGTCGCTCAAATGGAGAACTTATAAAAATATTGGAAGAAAGGCAAAAAGAAAACAGATCCACAGAGGCAGGACAGAGGCTGATGTCAGTAGAACTGTATAGAATCATTGTTTGAATAGAGAATTTTAGTTGCCAGTCATACCTACAAAATCAGAATCTCCTGGGATGAGGAGTTTTAAAAATTCTCATGTATACTCAACACTGGGAATTAGGGATTTAGGTCAGTCCTGTATTTTGTTATGTGGGAAGCTGAAGCTTAAAGGAGTCCAGGATCACATGTGTGGACAGAGGCAGTACACTAGGCCACAGGATGCCCCCACACCTATTAATCCCGCAGCTGTGAGTGTTTTCTAAGGGTGGTTTTATGCCTTGCTCACTGGTTTTATTTTCCATGTAATTGAAGCTCTTTAACAGCAGGGGCCATGTCTTGGGCATTTCTGGCTTTCAAGGCACTCAGGATGTAGTTTACATAATTGGAAGCTTGTCAACCCCTTTTTTCTTTTTATTTATTGCTTCTATGCTATTAATTTTATTTTAATTGGAGAATAATTGTTTTATGATGCTGCGTCGGTTTCCGCTGTACACACGTGAATTAGCTATGCTGTGCTGTGTGTGCCTCGTGGCGCAGTCCTGTCCGACTCTTTGCGACCCCATGGACCGTAGCCCACCAGGCTCCTCTGTCCAAGGGGATTCTCCAGGCAAGAGTGCTAGAGCGGGTTGCCATGCCCTCCTCCAGGGGATCTTCCCAACCCAGGGATGGAACCTGGGTCTCCCACATCACAGGTGGTGGATTCTTCACCATCTAAGCCACCAGAGAAGCCCAGGAATACTGGAGTGGATAGCTTACCCCTTCACCAGGGGATCCTCCTGACCCAGGGGTCAGCTTTAAGTACACATGCATCCTTTCCCTCTGGGGCCTCCCGCCCACCCTTCTCCTGCCCCGCCCCTCGAGGTCGTCACAGAGCCGCGTGCTGAGCTCCCTGAGGCGTACGGCAGCCTTCCACTAGCTGTTTATTTTACACACGGCAGTGGGCATGTGTCAACACTATTTCCCCTTCCCAACCCCTCCCACCCTCCCCTCCCCCCACTGTCTATAAGTCTGCTCTCAACATTCGCGTTCCTATTTCTGTCCTAAAAGTAGGTTCATCCGCACCATTTTTCTAGTTTCCATCTATATGCGTTAATATACATATCTGCTTTTTTCTTTCTGACTGACTTCACTCTGTATAGCAGGATCTGGGTCCATCCACATCTCTACAAATGACTCAATTTTGCTCCTTTTTTATAGCTGAACAATATTCCAGTGTATATATACGGATCATATCGTCCTTATCTATTCACTCTGTTCCCAAACACCACCACCTTTGGTAATTATTCCTGGCAAAATATTTGTATTTCCTGACTTTAAAAAAATATCATCACCACTAGTGTTCTAACAATAGTCTTTCTTTAAATATGTGATTTTAAAAGTTTTATCGAGTGTTTAGTATAATTTATATTTAATCTTGTGGCTGATTATTTCCTTGGGGGATGCATCCTTAATTTAAAAATGGAGATCAATGAGGAAATGTGATTTATCTAACAGAATTTGTTTTGCAACCAACTTTTCAGGAACAGAACTATTTCATTAAGTGGACTCTGACAATCCAAGGAGGGGAAGGAAGCAAATTGGAAACATGATAATTTCATTTCCTGAAGCTCCAGAGAAGCTTCATACTCTTCGGAGGACTTAAGCTCAGAAGTTTATAAGCCATGGAAGGATGAAAACTGCCCTGTGTAAGTAACACTCCTTTGGAAAAGAAACCCCAAGTTTCTGAGTTCATAGATTGGGCTTTGAAATCTGTATAACTGAAAATAATAATAGCCATGGTTATCATTTTTATCTCACCCGAGAAACACTTGTCAAGGAGAACAGCTGTAGCTATTGGAAAGGAGAAGGCACAGCTGTCCCCTTGCTTAATATTTTTATGGCATAAATAGGAGTTGAAATAAAAAAAAATCACTGGACCTCAGAAACTAAGAGAAAAAACGAGCACAGAATTCTAGAATTCCAAATTTGGAATCGTTTAAAAAATTATTTCAAAGTCTGTGACTAGTCTAGTCTTAGACTCGTCTAGTCCTAGATTCATCTTCTAGGTTTGTCTGAAAGTGAAAATCACTCAGTCGTGTCTGACTGTTTGCGACCCCATGGACTACACAGTACCTGGAATTCTCCAGGCCAGAATACTGGAGTAGGTAGCCGTTCCCTTCTCAAAGGGATCTTCCCAACCCAGGGATTGATCCCAGGTCTCCTGCAGGCAGATTCTTCACCAGCTGAGCCACCAGGGAAAACCCACCAGGGAAGATTCGTCTTGTCCTAAACTTGTCCTCTAGACTCTGGTTCCCTCCTCCCTTTTGATTTGCATCAAGAAGTTTCTGTTCAATGCAGACTGAGCTTTGGGGAGAGCTGGGCACTGGTAAGAGGGTGTCCCTCCAAGGCGTCTTGAGTTTGAGCTGAGCAGTGCTGGAAGTTTTGTGCTTTGATGGAGGAAGCCATGGTTTTGCTCAGGTGCTGGGAGGTCTGGTCCACAAACACATGGTGATAGAAGCATGGTTAGTATCTTCAACAGCAGCCCTCGAAAGCCAGAGGACTTGTTTGAGGTTTGAGGGAGGAAGTGGTGAGGGCAGAACTAGAGAAGATGTGCTCAGGGAAGACATTAGAGGTGGGTGAGCGTGTTGTGAGATCCAGAGTCAGCAGCTGCCGATGGAGCAAGGAAGCCCTCCTCATCCCCTTCCACCACTCCTGCCGAGAACTCAGAGTAGCCTGGGGCTCCCGGGCTTCAGCCAAAAACCCGTATAGCAGACGCTCACTCCACCTCAGCCTGAAGAGGCAGTGGTGGGGGGCTGCATGGAGGGGGCCTCCGAGAACTAACAAGAGGTAAAGCTGGGGTTTCTCGGCATGGAGATGGGCCCTCAGGGCGATCTTAACCTGGTTCTGGGGGAATCCTGGGGCTGTGGGATCAGGCTGGGGGCTCGTGGGCTCCAGACAAAAGCCACATCTGCTGTGACAGGGCGAGATGACCAGTGTCAAAAGTCATTTCTAAATATTAATACAATGTTTGTTACTGCTAAGCAATTGACACAGGAGAGCTTCCAAAGGACTGGTATTCAGCTAGAGCAAAATGGTTGAAGTGTTGATCTCAGCTCTTAGCCCCACTGGCCTTCAGCCGCACTGTGGGCAGGGGTGAGTTTCCATGTCTGCACATTGGCCCCCGCAGTCATCCTAGCTGATGGCTCACTCTGCATTCTTCTGATTATTCTTCTTTAAAATGGGAAAATGACACCAACGTAGAGGGTGGTTGTGAGTATTCAATAAGTATAGTAAAGTACTCAGTACACAGTAACTTCTGAACAACCGGCAGCTCTCATGATTACCCTTACTGACCCACAACTGATATGAGCATACTATAGTACTCCAGATCCTTGATATAGGAGCATCTCAATGTGAAAATGAAAGAATAATCAGATCCCTGCTTTTCCAGGGGGACTGAATCATAATAACTTTACAAACGATTTACCACAGATCCTGAGACTAGAAAGTTCTACTCTGTTCTCTTAAATTAGGAGATTTTGATTTAGATAATCAAAGTCTTGATTGATTGATTTACAAGGGTTACAATTCCTGGGGATCCTTTCTTCTAAGAAGGCAGGTGCAGTTGTATAGCCCATGTGAGACCAACTGGGGGCTTGAGAAATATCTCTAATTTCACAGGTAAGAATACAAGAACACACATATATACATGTAGATGCATGCTAAGTCGCTTCAGGCGTGTCTCACTCTTTTCCACCCTATGGACTGTAGCCTGCCAGGCTCCTCTGTCCATGGGATTCTCCAGGCAAGAACACTGGAGTGGGTTGCCATTTCCTTCTCCAGGGCATTTTCCCAACCTAGGGATCAAACCCCCATCTCTTACATCTCCTGCACTGGCAATTACCATGTTGGAGATTACTAACATAGCCACCTGGGAAGCGCCCCCACCCCACCAACATATGAATACACACACACACACACACACACATGCACACATTAGAGGCTTCCGAGGTGGCTCAGTGGTAAAGAACCTGCCTGCTAGTACAGGAGACATGGGTTCAATCTTCCTGGGTTGGAAAGATCCCCTGCAGGAGGAAATGGCAACCCACTTCAGTACTCTTGCCTGGAAAATCCCAGGGACAGAGGCACCTGATGGGGCTCAGTCCTTGGGGTCACAAAGAGTCAGACATGACTGAGCATGTGCATGTGCGCGCGCGCGCGCGCGCACACACACACACACACACACACACATATACACACGCATGTATTTTTCTTGACCTTTCCTTTGGATGCAGATAGCTTGGCTGGTAGAATGGAGAGTCTAACAATCTCTCTAAGAATGCGTGTGTGAATGTCAAAGATCTCTTCAGGGAAAAGTTCTGGATTTTTCCTGCTCTTGCGCTGAGGTACAGCTTCAAACTGCTGATGAGAACGTTATGCACCAAACACAGGGGCCAGTGCTGGGGAGTGGGGTGGGATGAGTTTTCCGGAGTCTCTGGTTCCCATTACAGGAGAGGAACCCTCCCTAAACAAACCCGCATTGGTTGCTGGGGAGAAGGAGCTGCAGTCCCTGCCCATGCCTGCCTGCCAGGCTAGAGTCGTCACTACTGCCGGTGGACTTCTCTTAGACCGGGAAACATCTCATTTCCCACAGCATCCCCACTCAGATGACAGAATCCCCCAAACCTTCAAATTAACCTCTTAAACTGATTCAATCATAAAGCAGTAATCAGAAATCAAATTAAATTTTCATAAACTGATTCAACTGTAAATTGCATGACTATCTCTCAACCTATTGATCTATCTACTTATCTATGTACCATCCTTCTAATACATATCTATCATCTATATATCTATCAATCTATCTGCATACCTACCTATGTAGATATAAAGGTAACAGCAAAACATATATTAAGAACTCATGTGACAGTTGAAACCAAATGTATGTTTGTCAAAATATATGAATATGCATACATGAAATATATTTTATGGATATATAAAAAGAAAAGGGAATTCCCTTAATTTTTGAAGCAGGACACTTTCTGGGAATCATCTTTACATTTGTATTGAGAAGGAGCTGCAAACAAAACACAATTATATGAAAGTGATCCCTTCGCACTCCACCACACCAGGTCCCATATATCTCTGAGGCCCATCCCTTCCTTTAACAACAAGCTGTTTTTGCAGACCCGGCTCCAGCAACCGGTTGGGCTCTTGGAGTTGTGTGCCCCTCTGCTGCCTGCCTTTTCACAAGGAACCCCAGCTCAGGTTTGCATGTAGACCGTCTATTACGGGGGATGGTTTCAAAGTCAGAAAATGCACAGCTGGAGGTTTAGAGTTTGCAGCTTGATGTCTGGAACCTGGATGTTTGCAATGGTGCAGCTGATGGCTGCTAAAAAAAAAAAATTAAAAAAATAAGTGAAGGAATCAGCTTTTGATTTGTAAACTCAGCCAATTTGATCTGAAAGACATTGATAGGGGATAAATATAGAACTCCGCAGTGTCATATTACCTCGAACGTCGGCTGTTTGCTTTCTCTTTTTCTAAATCCCTAGAGATATAAACCAGGAATCAGGGCTGTGGGATGTGAAGTTGCTTTGAAAATCCTTGTCCAGAATAATTTAATGGATTTTTTTTTAAGATTCTTAATGGGTTAAGGTTCCAGGCTCTATTATGCACACAAATGGTCAGAAGTCCACTTGCAGGGGGTCACTGCAGCCACCTCGTCCTGAGTTGCCTTGGGAAAGCAGGGCTGTCTGTGCTTTAGCCATGAAGACGATTTCTGGATTAAGAGCAGGGTTTTTTATCTGAAAACTAGAACTCCAACCCTACGGGTTTCTGAAGCTACGGAAATGACATCATGCACGTATGCCTCTGTGTGTGTGTGTGTGTGTTTTAACAAAAGATTCTATTTCTTTCTGAAAAGAGGTCTAAAAGGAGTATAGAACCCAGAAAGATTCATATTGACCCCTCTGTGGTCCTGTGGTTCATCCAACAGTGACTGCACAAAACCAAGTCTCTATCAGCCTCCAGTCTTAGAAAGAAAAATGAAAAAACTTCTTAAAATATAACTGATGATTGGAAGAAGGAATAACTCTAGGAGTAAAGCACAGCCTCGTGTATATGTTAAATATTTTGCAGAGGATGGAAAGTGAAGTAACTTATAAATCATCCTTTTGAAGAACAGGCATGCAGATCTGAGCAGTGCTTTGTTCACTAAACAAGAGGAGTTCTCCTCCCACCCAGACTTAGGAGGAAAGAAGTGTAGTGGGCAGGGTTCTGTTCCTTCCCCGAGACCCACGACCACTGGAGGCCAATGAGAGGCCTGCTGGACACGGAGGGAGCACTGGTGATGTACCAAGCAAACAGGCTGTGAAAACATCCCTCCTGGGGGAAGGGAGAGAGAAGAAAGCCAGGATGGGATCAGATTTATAGTTAAAATAATCCAGTGAATAAATTCAGATCATATCCTGAGAGGAAGCTGCAAGGGTCATCAGTGCTGGAGCTGGAAATGCCAGCCTGCACTTCTGGTTGGCCCAGGGAGGAGATGGGGACACAGGCTACCCACAAGGGTAAGAGGAAGCCTGAGGATGTAGGATTATTTGGGTCCAGTGAGAAAGAGAGGCCTGGTGAAAATCTTTGTTTACACTAGATTTGATTATAGGCTTTGAACATATTTAGGGCTTCCCTGGGGCTTCCCTGGGGCTTCCCTGGGGGCTCAGAGGTTAAAGCGTCTACCTCCAATGCCGGAAACCCGGGTTTGATCCCTGGGTCAGGAAGATCCCCTGGAGAAGGAAATGGCAACCCACTCCAGTATTCTTGCCTGGAGAATCCCATGGACAGAGGAGCTTGGTAGGCTACAGTCCACGGGGTCACAAAGAGTTGGACACGTCTAAGAGACTTCACTTTCACTTTCACTTTGTAGCTCAGCTGGTAAAGAATCCACCTGCAATGCAGGAAACCCCAATTCAATTCCTAGGTCGGGAAGATCCACTGGAGAAGGGGTAGGCTACCCACGCCAGTATTCTTGGGCTTCCTTGGTGGCTCAGCTGGTAAAGAAGCTGCCTGCAATGCAGAAGACCTGGGTTTGATCCCTGGGTTGGGAAGATCCCCTGGAAAGGAATCAGCTACCCACTCCAGTATTCTGGCCTGAAGAATTCCACGGACTATGTGGCCCATGGGGTAGCAAAGAGTTGGACATGACTGAGCGACTTTCACTATCACTTTTGAACATATAACATAACATAATCATCTTTGCAAATAGTTCTCAAAATCTACCCACCACCAAATCTACCTGCTACTGAATCACTGGCTGAGATGCAGGCACATCCTGCCTGGCTGTCTGGGACCGCCTCCCTCCTCGGCTCCGAGTGGAACTCCACACACAGGTGGGCCTTCAATCCCATCACGTAGAAGTGAAGAGAGGTGGAGGAAAAAGAGGAGCTTATTTACTCTTTCATAGGTTCCACTGCTAAGGTTTCCTTCCATCTCTTTTCATCTCACACAAAATCTAAACATAGGCATGCACACCTGCGTGCGGATGGAGCACAATGTAAGAAAACAAGACAACTATGATTTGTCAGGACAAACTCGGTGCTTCCGAGCCCTCATCATGGCTCTTTCTTTTAGGAATTACACAGCCTTGAGTACACTGCTGAGCCCCAGTTCCCTTGTTAGTGACATGTGGAAATGCTTTTATTCCTCCTTCCTAGGTTGGGTCTGAGAATTGTATGAGAGAAATTGAGCAAATTCTTTTTAGATTCTTCACAGAAGGATCTAAAAGAGTCAGAAAGAACAGATTCTAGGAGCAATTTGGCAATTTGATGGCATCTTATAAAGTCCCCTCCTCAGCTCTCCTCTATCTCCTCCCCTTGATCAATCTATACTCTGAATCCCGTGTCTACAGTTTAAATAACCAGTTCTACTCCCAATTTCCATGTCCATGTCAGCATCCCAGGACAATCTGCTGACCTTTGTTCCTGGAACTGCCAGGATAACACCCCTCATGTGTCTCCCAGACACCCCGGGTTGAACCATCGTTCACCCCTCAAACCTGCACTTACCCTGCGTCTGCTAATTTCTGCTGGTGATGGCGCTTCTTCCCCATTCTCCCAGGATAAAATAGAGTCACATTTAATTCCTACTTTTTCACTCAGTCCCTCCCTTCCATCAACGAATCTAGTTGTTTTTACCCCCTTTATAGTTTTCAAATGTATTTTCTTCTTTCTCGCATACTGTTAACTGTGTTAACTCAATGCCAGTTACCTACTCTGGATTATTACAATCCCTTCTCCACTGTTACCCATTCCTTCAGGTTATTATATTTAGTATTGGTCCCCAAACGATTGCAAAACCAAAACAAAACAAACCTCACCTCCCCCATCCTTAGCACCTTGTCCTGCTCCGCTCCTCTTTCTGAGCTGGCTCTCATCCATGTCTTTAGATTCTGTTCCCAGCTCCTTTCTCCCCCCACCCACTAATGCACCATGAAGTTCCTACAGACTGAGCTGTTTACCTGTGCTTTGCATCCTCTTCCTTTTTGCCTTCAAAACCATCTTAGATATCACTCCTTTGGGAACCCTTTCTTGCAATCAAAATTCCTTACCTCCTCTCTACAGTTTATTTATTTATTTATTTGCCTCTAGTGTTGCACCAATCACAGTGCATTGTTATATAATTGCCTGTGTTTACCCCACTCGAATTTATAAGACAGAAGGGGATTTTATTTATCCTTAGCCTCAATATGTATGGCGGCATTGAACACACAGAAGTCACCAAATGATCATATGGTCAAGACTGAATGAATGAAGTAACTGACTATAATTCTGGTGACTAGTCTGGCTCTTGTAATGAACTATTCAAACCTTCTTTGGTGACTTTTAAGAAACCAGCAGAGATCTTTTAAGTTTAGTATTTCTTTTGATACAGAACTGGACACATAAAAGTGTCCTTGATGTGTCCTAATCTCCTAAGGTTAAATAATTTTATTGCACATTTCCTAAGGGGGAACTAAAAAGCCTTCATCAAGCGAGACCTGGAGTGAATAAGAAAAGAGCTTGGTTTGTCCATCTCCACAAATACCCCTCATTAAAAGCTCTTGTAGCTCAGGCCCCTGCTTCCTCCGAATGAGTTAGGATGCAGCAGGTTTCAGAAGTGTCTAATCAGAAGTGTCTCAGAGAGTCTTCTTATGGCATCATCAATTGGGTTGCATTTTTTCCCGAGTGGAATCAGCTTGGTGATTCAGCTCTGTCTATATGCAATTAGCAGTGGAATGATTGCAGGGAACGTGATTAGGCTCTCTACCTTCCTGGAATGGGCAGGCAGGGAAAATGTGCTGCCATCCACACAAAACAGGCCTCTGCAGAGGCACCGGCAGCCTCCACAGCAGAAACACTAACAGGCGCTCTGATAAGAGCTCTAGGCAAGGAATGGAAGCTGGCAACAGGGATGTGGACACAAGCAAGGACTTGAACTTGAACTTGACCTAATAGGGCAAAACCATGCTGGAGCATCAAAACCTCCCTGAAAAACCTCAGCACCTGCTTCAAGGGGGTTGACACCTACAGTGCACAGAGATGCATGTGACCTCCCTGGCCCCTTCCTTCTCTGGAGCCCTGAGCTCTGTTTGCCCTGAGGGCGCTGAGTTCTTCCCCTCTCTGCCTCTCTGCAGCTGCTCTGCTTAGATGGTGTTAACTCCCAGCCCCCTGGTTCCCTTCCAACCTAGTCACTCTTTTCCTTTCCCACAACCCCAAGACATGGGATAGAGGAATACTTTTGTTTGATGACATTGGTCCTTGAAGTGAAAAATCTAACAACGGTAACTGACGGAAAACAAGTTATTCTTTATTTCTGTTCTAATTCTCTTCTTCAGCAGACTAACTACCACATCTGAGACCTGACTGCTGGCACCTTCCATGGTGGAGGGGAGGAGTGGACCGGAGCTCGTGAATCGACCAGTGAAGTCAGCAACTGGTGAAGAAAGCGGGCAGAGAGAGACAGAGACGAAGCGTAAGCAGATGATAAAATGACACGTTAAACAGAGAAAGCAGGGAGAACGAAAGCTGTCTGTTGAAGACAGTCAATCAGTAGTTCAGGTAAATCAGAAGCTCGCTCCCACAACTGCTCTGTTCTCATCAAAGCTCAAAGCCACTGCCAGCCCCGTGGGAGGACTTGGCCATAGCCAGGCTTGTATGAAGCCTGTGGCTACAGCTGACTCCCAGACCTCACCTGAGTGTCCTGTGATGCCTTGAAGACCCCAGCATCAGCCCAAGGAACCTCCCTTCTCTGTGAGGCCCTCACACTGAGCCTCTAGAACAGGGTCAGCACACTTTTTTTGACCACGTGGCAAATATTTGAGACCTCCCAAATATGTGAGGTCATACTGCCTGTGCAGGGACTTCTGAACTCAGGCACTGTCAGTCCAATGCAGCCACGAGAAAGAGCCAGAAGGAGTGGGTCCCAGCAAAGTGGATTATGCACAACAACATTTTCATGTCACAGCATCTTACTGCGTCACAAACTATTCCTCTTCTTTTGATGGACATTCAGCTATTTAAAAAACATAAGAAGACATTCTTGAGGGACACACAGAAAATGGGACTTGGCCGTGATGGGACTTGGTAGATGGGACTTGGTCGTGAGCTGCAGTCCCCTGGCCCCTGACGGGCATGTCTCCTGATGGACGTGTCTGACCTTTCCAGTTGTCTCCTGTTCCCCATTGTCCCCATGCCACATCGTTCCCTAGACTACTTCCTCTGCCTCACCCCCACACTCTTTCAGACCCTTCCGTCTGCACACTGGACCTGCTCTGCACAATCTCTGTCATCCTCTGCTTTTCTTGGAGATTCACCTCCCGCCATTGACATCCTGGGTCTGGGGGAGTGGATGCCCCTACAGACCAGTCCTGTCCACTGGAGGCTACAGGTGTATTTGATTCTTTTTTCGTATCCTTGCTCTGCCATGGAAATTCTAGACTCCATCTTTTTAAACCTGGTGTCTCCCCTATAATTTAAGGGGTATGGCATACATATCTGACTCTGCAGCCCCATTTCCTATTATTCCTAGTTTCCATTTTCCTACATCGATGGTTTATCAAAGGCAGGGCGGTGGGAATGTCTGTTCCTAGATATCGTTTAAAGTCACACAAGCACGGTGATAATAAAAAGCCAAACTGATTTAATTAGTTATTGTCAGTATCATCAATTCTAATGACAGCATTCACAGTTCCAGTTATGAGGGAGTAAACATACTTTACCTGGGACTTCCCAGGTGGTACTAGAGGTAAAGAATCAGTCTGCCAATGCAGGAGACTTAAGAGACTCGAATCACATCAAACTGGATTTGATTCCTGGATTGGGAAGATCCCCTGGATCTGGAATAGGGCATGGAAACCCACTCCAGTATTCTCGCCTGGAGAATCCTATGGACAGAGGAGCCTGGTGGGCTACAGTCCATGGGGTCACAAAGAATCAGACATGACTGAAGCGACTTAGCATACATGCACACAAACACACTTTACCTGATCTCCCCTGCTCATTTACAACTAGACAAGAAACATTAAAAAAAATCCAAGGACTCTGAAAAGGAAAGAATAGAAGGTAGATGAAGGGGAGAATCGAAACTTGTATGAAGAACACCATAGTGGTAAATTTCTTGGTATTTTTCTTCCTCTTTCTTGGCTTGACTCAGAGCAGCCAGAATCTAAAACTGCGTAGAGGATGCTAACGGAAAAAACACCATGATAAGCCCTTGCTTTCTGGTCTGAGAAAAGGAAAGGGAAAACTTTCAAGATGGAGAGATATTACTTTTTAGTTTTGTTATTGGTTTTGTTCTTTTTTCCCCTCTCCTTGCCCAGTGGTAAACCTTGGTCCCAAGGCTAAAGTCCAGGAGCAATGGTAGTAGGCTCAGAGGCCACCTAAAACTGAGGACAAAACAGAAAAACAACCAAGATCTTCTCTGTGACCTGGGGTACTAAGGGAACTGTGTTCAGAAGAACAGAAGGAATTTCAGCCATAGTTTTCTCCTCTCTTTCCCCGCTTTGCCCTGCAGTTTGACTTGCCATCACAAGAAGTGAGGGACATTCACAGGAGCTAAGACTTCTGCTTTCCAGGCTGCAGGCAAGGAAGGGGGACCCACGGAGCCAGCCTGTGGGGGGAAATCTCAGAGAGAAGGGAGCTCACATGAAGCTTGTGAGCAATCTCAGGCTCACCACTGACCGTGTGTGGAACTCACCCAGGACAGTATACCAAGGGCTTCGAGAACTAAACTATGGTTCATGCCTCCACTCAGGATCCTGGCTGGCCAGTGCACAACAATCTTCTGACACTGCCAACACTTTGAAATCAGAACTAACATTGGAGCCACAGGAGCAGGCGGGCCAGGACTGTGGTGTGAGCCTAACTGGTCCAGTTGACTGCTAAGACTGGGTCGATTCTACCTCCCAGTGTATTCTCAAAGGATTTTAACCAGATTGAGAGTCTACTAACATAATATTCAAAATGGGCAGGATACAATCCATTAATAATCACACAAAGAACAAGGAAAAGCTAAACAATTCACTAGGGAAAAGACCATTAACAGAAGCCCACCCAGAGAAGACCTAGATGTTACAATGATCAAAGACTTTAAAGCAGCTAGCATAACTGTGTCCCATGACGTAAAAGGTAGCACTCTCAAAAGGAATATGAAAATAGAGAATTTCCACAGAGACCCAGAAGCCATAAACAATAGAAAAATGAAAATATTTAGAACTGAATTTCAGATATTCCCTGGATAAGCTCAACAGTGGAATGAAAACAACAAGAGTCAAGAGTCAGTGAACTTGAAAACAGATGAGCAGAATTCATGTCATCTGAACAGGAGAGGTCGGGAGAAGGGTAAGAGCTTGATTACAAAAGGGCAAGATGACTCATGTCACGTACTATGTCCAGTTCTGGGGGTGGTGGGTGCATGAAGCCGAGCATATGTTAAAACTCACAGACATGCACACTACAAAGTGCAGATAACTTTAGTAGCTCACAAAGTGTGTGGAATAACATAGGTGCCAAACAAACTTCATCGCATGTCAGAATCTTGGCTGTCCTCAAGTTTTGCAGCTTCTTAAAATTGACTTGTCCTTTAAGTAAATCTGGATGGTCTGTGCGCTGAGAAACCTGACATTCCTTCAAATAGCTTGTGGATTCTTAAGACGCTCACACCCCTCTTGACCTTAGGAGTCTTGGTTCTGGATTCCACTGAAGGTCACATTCTCCACCCCATCTTTGGTCCTTCCCCAGGTAGCTCCCTCTCCACTGGTTGGGAAACTGTCTGCTTCAGTTCCCAGAGAAACACTGATTCTAGGCTCTGTGCACACACACAGTGCTAATGGTTTTCTGAAAAAAAAGTGAAGATTATACTCCACAAAGCATATAAAGTAACTGAAATTTTACTTTTCAACAGTCTGGTCTCCAGGGATGACATACATTATCCCCATCAACCACAGAAATGTTTATTGGATAAACTGCCCACATTTTTCTTCAATATTTTTCAAAATAGATGTATAAGACTCCAAAGACATCCCCAGAACATTGTCATTTTCTTTTTATTCATGTCGACGCTCCTGGGCATACACAGACCCCAGATAGTAAGCTCATACATTTGTCAGTACTTAAGACAAACTCGCATGCATGCCCACACATGCATATATGTTAGCACATTTTCTTTCTTTATTTAGCAGAATACTTAACTTGCCATTTATTTCTCTGTAAATCTATTTCTCAGATGTTCCATGTTGGGGAACATTCATGGAATCCCAAGATCCTGATTCATTAGCACTTGACTTTCTATAATGATATTCTCTAGGGGTCATTCAGTTTCTCAGATCCTGTTTTCAATCCTTTCTGGTGTTTCATTTTTTCTTACAAACCAGATCCCCCCCACCCGCCCCGGAACTCAGAGAACTTCAACCTCATATGCACTCCCAGTGTGACATATACACGGGCTGAGGTTCCCTCTGCTGGGTGGCACACACACCTGGCCTGACACGCCATCTAGCACTACATCAAAGAAGGCTCCTCCCAGTCATCGGGAGAAATGTCCCCAAACAGAACTTCTGAACTGAGAGCTCCATGTCTCTTGCATTATTCATTCTATCTGTTATGAAAACGACGTGTTCGGAAAGCCTAGGATATTCCGCTTACCAAAACTCATGATTCTGATGATGACCACTGTGACTGTATGTTATTTGTGCATGAGAACATCACTTGGCCCTACACCTAGCAGAACGGAGACTGGCCTTGCCTCCAGGGCTTAAAACTGGGGAGACAGATCTGACTCCAAAGAACAATCCAAGAGGCTTAGACAGGATAGTCTCTGTCGTCAAGTGCCTGAGGGGTCCAGAGAATATTTTGAAGAATAAATACACACTAAAGTGGAACTTGGGTTTCCCTGGTGGCTCAGTGGTAAAGAATCTGCCTGCAATGCAGTAGACACGGCTTTGATCCCTGGGTCGGGAAGATCCCCTGGAGAAGGAAATGGCAACCCACTCCAGTATTCTTGCCTGGAGAATCCTATGGACAGAGGAACCTGGTGGGCTACAGTCCATGGGGTCACAAAGAATGAGACATGACTGAACGAACTGGACTGAACTGGTACATACACAGATATAATCTTTATATCACCTGGGGAAAGAAATTACACAAAAATTGCCAAAATACACCTGGAAAAATATCCATATATGGGAAGTATATTTATGTATAAAGCTAACACTGGTGGCTCAGCAGTAAAGAATCCGTCTGCCANTCCCGCCGTCAGTCCCCTGGCTGCTTTAGCTGAACTGTCACTGGGCTATCTGGGCAGAGTCCCTTATGTTCCCTCTGAAACAAGAGGGGAGGGTGTGAATGTCTACCCTACATTCTATAGATGTGCTTAAATGTTTTAAATATATGGACATATTCTGTACAGTGTAGAATGCTGCAGAGCTACGAGAAGCTATTAATTCACAGAACCCAGACACTCACAGTGAAGGTACTGATTAATGGTCCATTGCTAGCCAGTGGCCAAGCCTCTGGGGTCAGCCGTTGGGGCAATGGGTCCTCCTTGCAGGGGACGATGCTGAGATTGCAGGTATCCGCCAGCGCCGCCTACCTGGGGCCCATGCTGTGTTCAGCTCCACCGGTCTCAGGATGCAGCAGGGTAAGCTGGAGGAGGGGCATCCACAAAAGGACCATCTGCAAGAGGGTGGCTGTGCCTGGAATTGCAAAGACCCCGGTGCAGCAAGACTCATCTGTCAAGGCCGGGCCAGGGGCCGACAGCTCGAGGACTGGCAGCAAACAGGGCTGGAGCAGAGACAGGAAGATTCATTTCTTCCTGAGAAAGGAGTGTGCTGTGAAGAATAAATCATTTCTGAGCAGCCACTGGACCCGGGAGCGAAACTTGTTTTGGGAATTTGGTCCCAGGGGAGCCCTGGGGGTGCTGCTCAAGGAGCAGCAGAGCTGAGCAGGGTGGGTGATGTTGTATCACAGAGCAAGGCCAGCCAGGTGTTGCGGTGGCCACACCTGGCTGCATCTGGCAGCAGGAAGTGAGGTCACAGCCTGGAGAGGAGGAAGGAAAGACGGGGCCAGGGAGGTGCCAGCTGGCTCAGGGCTGCGATGGAGAGGGACAGACTCAGCCAGCGGAGGGACTTTGTTCCACTTTTTAAAAGATGTTCATGGCAATTTACATGTAGGAAATGGCAACCCAATCCAGCACTCCTGCCTGGAAAATTCCATGGATGGAGGAACCTCGTAGGCTACAGTCCATGGGGTCGCAAAGAGCTGGACATGACTAAGCAACTTCACTTTCACATGGCAATTTATAAAAAGGCTCAAAAGGATGAGAAGAGAGAGATAGAAGGAGGGTCCCAGAGCAGTGCCTTCTGATGTTCCTGGGATCACAAGGTGGAGGGTGGGGGCTGTGGGGCATGACCACCCAGGATAGCACCCAGTTCATGCCCAGGGGAAACCATGAAGCAGACAGAAGTCAGGGTCCAGTCCTGCAAGGGGTAGGATGGAAGACCAAGATGCAGGCAGGCTGGAGGGGACAGCACAGGTGGGAACCTTGATCCTTCACTTGCTTCTCCTGCTGTCCTGGGGGGTCGGGTAGCCCCACCCCAAACTCTGCCCTCCCCTCCGGCTGCCCAGGGGAG